TGCCTGTTTTAGGGTTTCTCTCAAAACCCCTGAGGGGTGAGCACCACGTTTCTTTTGCAGCTGGGGGTCTCGAGCCCACATGGGAAGGCGGCTCCTGGCAGGCCTGGGTCCTGCTCCTCACTGGTCCCTCACTGGGGCTGGCCTTAGTTTTAGTATGGAGAGAATGGGCCTGGCATCATATCCTAGTGGCCGAATCCTTGCCTTACATCTACTGGGATCCCACATGGACGCCGGTTCATATCCTGCTGCTCCACTTCCCATCCAGCTCCCTGTGTGTCCTGGGAAAGCAGAGGAGGACGGCCCAAAGCCTTGGGACCCTGCACCCGCGTGAGAGACCTGGAAGAAGCTCCTGGCTTTGGCTCAGCTCAGTCCCGGCTATCGCGGCCACTTGGGGAGTGAACCAGCAGATGGAGGGTGTTTCTGTCTGTCTCTCCTCTCTGTACATCTGCCTTTCCAATAAAAATAAATTTTTGAAAGAAAATGTGGAGATAATGTATCTGTGTATGTCATACTGTCCTCCCGTGGCCGAATAGACACACACCCTGCCGACAGCGTGACGGGGCCGTGGCAAAGGGCCTGCACAGCGTACCCCGGTGTCTCAACCTCTGGCTGCCAAAGTCTCGAATTGGCAGTTTGGATGTGCAATTTGTGCTTTTTTATAAAAAAGACTTACTTAAGGGCTGGCATGATGGTTCAACTGGCTAATCCTCCACCTTGCAGCTCTGGCATCCCATATGGGCACAGGCTGTAGTCCTGGCTGCCCCACTTCTTGTCCAACTCCTTGCTTATGGTCTGGGAAAGCAGTGGAGGATGGCCTGGTCCTTGGGAACCTGCACCCATGTTAAGGACCCTGAAGAAGCGCCTGGCTTTGGATCGGCACAGCTGTGGCTGTTGTAGTCATTTGGGGGTGAACCGGTGGACGGAAGGTCTCTCTGGTGCCTGGGGCCCGCTGCCTGCCGTGGCCTGGTCCGTTTGGGCCCCTGTCCCAGGGCTGAAGCGCCGGCTTGGCTTGCGCTGGCCGTGACAGCCATGTGCAGCGTGAACCACGGGTGGGACGTCTCCCTGTCTGCTCTTTTCTCTGTAACTTTTACAAATAAGTCAATCTTAGGGGAAAAAAAACAAGAACCCAGCACGGGTTTTGACGTTTTGCCCTCTCAGCAGCCCCCACCCCTGTGGTTTGCTGGCGTTCTAGCTCGTGAGTCAGCTTCTTTGCCAGCCCGTCTGTGTGTTAGCGACTGTCTGCAGCCCCCACATGAGGCTGTAGTAATCGCCTTTGACCTAGGCCACTCGCAGTGTGTGCGTGAGCGGAGGAGTGGAATTTGGGACCTGTGAGGTCCCAGGTTAGGCCGTGTCACGAGCCAGGTGACTGCTGGAGGCAGGTGCTGCGTGGCACCTGCTGCGTCCTCCTGTGCCTGACGTGCTGGTCAAGGCGCAGCGTGGCCAGGCCTCGGTTTCTCAGAAGAACCTGTTGCTGCCCCAGGTTCTCCGGCAGCTACCGCTTCCCTGAGCCCTCGTGTCCCCTTCCAGGAGTGGTCAGGGCAGGGGAGGGAGTGTTGGGTCCCTCTTCAGATGCTTCTTGGTCTGCAGCACACACTCACCTGCAGGCACCGTCGGCGTTAGGCACCGTGCTGCAGGTGGGAAATGAGAGGTCGCCTTTGCCTGTGGGGCCTGAGGGGCCTCACCTGGGGGAGCAGCTCACAGCCTCCGCCTGCATGGAGGCCCCACAGCCTGGCCAGGCCCGCTGGCAGGTGTCCTCTGCAGGCTGCACCCCCGGAGGCCCCACAGCCTGGCGCCGGCTGTGCAGGGGTGAGGTGCTCCAGGTGGAGCGGGCTGCCCAGGCTGCGCAGGGGTGAGGGGTGTTCCAGGTGGAGTGGGCTGCCCAGGCTGCGCAGGGGTGAGGGGTGTTCCAGGTGGAGTGGGCTGCCCAGGCTGCGCAGGGGTGAGGGGTGTTCCAGGTGGAGTGGGCTGCCCAGGCTGTGCAGGGGCGAGGTGAAGAGCAGCAGTGTGGCTCACTGAAGTTACAGCTGAGCTGGGTGCCTCCTGCTCGCTTCCCGCACACGCAGCTGAGCCTGTGGCTCTGTCGGTGACGATGAGTCGGAGAGCACTTGAGTGGAGCTCGGAAGGTCACATGGAACACATGGACTTAGCCAAAAATAGCCCAAAACAGCATTTCTGGGAAACGCCGTGAGGCAGCTTTCAGTGTCAACACGGGCCGAAGTCAAGATAAGGCTGCGTGGGAGAGTGAGCCCTGGAAGACGTGTGTCTGTCTGCCCTGCACTGACCCGACCGTCCTGCCGCACAGACCACGCACTGCCCTTCTGCCTGCAGCTGGGCCACGGTGGCCCACTGCCTGGAGCTCTTCCCGCAGATCCCAGGGAACTTCCTGCTTTGGTTTGCCTTTTTTTTTGTTTTTCAGTTTAGACCCTGGACTTGGCATCATTTTGGATTGAAATCAGTGAGGAAGATACTGTTGGTGGGGGGGGGGGTCAGTCTCCCTTCTGTGAGTGCTAAGTGAAGGGAGGCATTGCTGCTGTGGGCACCCCTCTGGGCACTCCTGCTACTGTGGGCACCCCTCCTCTGGGCACCCCTCCTCTGGGCATTCCTGCTACTGTGGGCACCCCTCCTCTGGGCACTCCTGCTGTGGGTACCCCTCCTCTGGGCACTCTTGCTGTGGGCACCCCTCCTCTGGGCACTCCTGCTGTGGGCACCCCTCCTCTGGGCACCCCTCCTCTGGGCACCCCTGCTGTGGGCACCCCTCCTCTGGGCACTCCTGCTGTGGGCACCCCTCCTCTGGGCACCCCTCCTCTGGGCACCCCTGCTGTGGGCACCCCTCCTCTGGGCACTCCTGCTGTGGGCACCCCTCCTCTGGGCACCCCTCCTCTGGGCACCCCTGCTGTGGGCACCCCTCCTCTGGGCACTCCTGCTGTGGGCACCCCTCCTCTGGGCATTCCTGCTACTGTGGGCACCCCTCCTCTGGGCACTCCTGCTGTGGGTACCCCTCCTCTGGGCACTCCTGCTGTGGGTACCCCTCCTCTGGGCACTCCTGCTGTGGGTACCCCTCCTCTGGGCACCCCTCCTCTGGGCACCCCTCCTCTGGGCACTCCTGCTGTGGGCACCCCTCCTCTGGGCACCCCTCCTCTGGGCACCCCTCCTCTGGGCACTCCTGCTGTGGGCACCCCTCCTCTGGGCACCCCTCCTCTGGGCACCCCTCCTCTGGGCACTCCTGCTGTGGTCCTCTAGTGCTCCCATTTGGCAAGGTGTGTTGCTCACCCCAATGTGCTCTCCAACGGGCTCAGTTTGATTTTCCTGGTGACTCTTTGGGGGAGACATGGGGTGGGTCGGTGGCATGTGTGTGAGAGCTGTCTGGTGCTGTGGGCTGTCCCTCCTGTCCTGGTCTGTCCTCTAGCACTGGCCTTGGCGTGATATGCTATAGGAGCTGTGAGCACCTGTGGGTTCCTGTCAGCCCAGACAAGGTAGAGCTGGGGGTGTCACGCAGGTGCGGTTATAGATGCCTCCCAGAGTAGCTGTGGCTTTGGGGAACTAACCGTCTTTGAGTGGGAACAATGTGGCGCAGCTCACGGTCCTATATCAGACTTGCCCTAGGATCAAGTCCTTGTTCCTCATCCTGACCCGGCTTCCTGCCAAGGGGTATGCTGGGAGGTAGCGGTGATGGCTCACACCTCACAGTCACTCACACACCCATGGCTCGCACCCCACAGTCGCTCACACACCCATGGCTCACACCACAGAGTTGCTCACACCACAGAGTTGCTCACACCCCACAGTCGCTCACACCCCACAGTCGCTCACACCCCCATGGCTCACAGCACAGAGTTGCTCACACCCACAGTCGCTCACACCCCATAGTCGCTCACACCCCCATGGCTCACACCCACAGTTGCTCACACCCCGCAGTCGCTCACCCCGAGGCCCTGTCTGTGCTGGGGTTCCTAGCTTAGCCCTGACTGTTGTGGACAACATGGGAGGGAAGCTGCAGGTGGAAGGGCTGTGTGTGTCCACTTATCTTCATCTTTCAAATGCATAAAATAATACAAGGTTCTGGGATGCTTTATGCGTTGGATGATGAAAGAAAAATTAAGAAAAATCACCCCATTTAGTTCCTGTGCAAATGTGAGTAATTACAGCTGTTAGCATCTTGTGGCGCTGTCGGGAGACACGGCTTTCTGGAGGAGCAGCGCGTAGCTGTCCAGTGTTGAGTGGCATCAAGCCCCGTTGACCAGCCCTGCCATGAGCTCCCTCCATGCCTTAGCAGCAACTTGTGTCTGTTAACCCCTGTGCCCAGCGGGCTGGCTTTCCCAAACTGGGGACAGTGGATTGGTGTGCGTCTGTTGCTGTGGCTGCCTGTGGCAGGTCACAGTCAGTCTATGGGGCTCTGTCATGCCTCCTCAATGCATGCCTGAGACCCACACCCTGACTCCTGGGCAAGCCCATTGCTTGGCAGTGTGTGTTCCTGCTGTCCTGGAGGGAGGGAGACAATGAACTTGCAGGCTGCGAGAGGCGCAGGGCAGTGGGTCGGGGTCAGGGGCGCAGGGCAGTGGGTCGGGGTCAGGGGCGCAGGGCAGTGGGTCGGGGTCAGGGACGCAGGGCAGTGGGTCGGGGTCAGCAGCGCGGGCTGCTGCGGCTTTTTTCCCTTTGTGTATACTTTGTTTTTCCTAGGCCTCTTCGGGTAAACTTCAACATTGGTGTCTTTCTCTAATACTTGAAATTTATGTTAAATTGTGACTGTAAAGAAGTTAAAACCTTTACAATTTTCATTCCTCTAAATCCTACAAGTAATTGTTGTATTTTGGCTGTAAAAATGTTGGGTACTGAGAAGAAGTTAGTGCAGCTCCCCGTCGGTCCAGGGAAGTCTGCGGGAAGTGTGGCAGTGTGGAACTTTCCAGGCCCTACTGGGCCACTCCGTGTGCAGATCCCGCTCACACGAGAGTAGAGCATTGTGCTTCTGTCTCTGGGAAAGATGATGGTCTCTGTCCCCACAGGTTACCCCGAGGACCGAGGCCCCCGGCCACAGTGGCAGTCACAGCCTGGAAAGCGCGCTGCACACGTCTGCACATTCCGCTGAGGAGCCACTGCCCAAGAGGCCGCTGGGGAAGCACGGCAAAGGTGCGTGTCCGTGGGGATGCTCGGCGTGGCTGTGTAGCCCGCAGCGCGCGAGGAGCCCACAGCTGAGCTCTGGGGCCCCACGGCCAGGAGCTTTCGGCTGCACAGGCGCCCTCTGCTCACACTGCCGCCGAGGGGATCCGGCTTGTTTGCGCTGCATTCAGTTGCACACAGCTTCGTTCAGGTGGCGACCGCCAGGCTGGGCGGGAGTAGCAACCGAGAGAGGCTGTGGTGGTGGGTGAGGCACGGACACGGCCTTCCCTAGTCGCAAGGCTGGGCTGGCTGGACAGGAGAAGCGTGGAAGGGGTTTGTAGGACTCGTCCCAGTTCAGTGAGATAGTCATGAAGTCCTTGCTGGGGGAGGCCCTGGGGCCCGAGGCTGGCTGCCCGCCGTGTGGCTACTGCTGTCCCCTGCCTCCAGGCCTGGGCGCTGCCCCTCACCGGGGCACAGGAAGGCCACAGTCAGAGGTCAGCAAGGCCACCCGTGCGTGAGGTGAAAACGCAGAAGGAGCCCCTTCTCGGTGCCTGCGGCCTGTGGCTGACGCGTGGGCTGCGTCCTCACGCTTTCTCTAGCAGCCTGACTCCTCTGGCGGGGGCAGGCACTTGGTCCGCTCTGAGCATCTCGCCGCTGTGGTCCAGGCTGCCGCCTGCCTGGTCCTTTGCCCAGGCCTTCCTTCAGAGTGGACTTGTCACGCGTTGTTCTCTGGGGCCTGCGCCGAGAGCCGGGAGGCAGCGTGCGCAGTCGGAGCCCTGGCTGTTGCAAGGCTGCCCTTGTCCCCTCACAGAGCCGTCACCCTGGGGAGCACCTGCAGGCTGCTCCCGCCTGCCCCGGGGTGGGAGCCGCGCCTTCTGTGGAGAGGGTGCTGGTTCGGCCCGTTGACCCTGCCGCCCCGTTCCTTGGTTCTACAGGGTAGCACTGTGTGCAGTCGGCTCTGCCTCCCCCGTGAGGCGCGGCTGCGCGTGGTGCAGGTCAAGTGCTTGCACTGCTCCAGACGGCCCAGCAAGGCCAAGCCCACTGCTGCCCCCTAGCGGGCGTGTTGGCCCTGGGCCTTGGCTGTCCCTGCTCACCCACTCCCCGCCTGACATTGCAGAGCTGTCGCGGGGTCTGCAGGTGAAGCGGGGAGGCTGAGGCAGAGCTCGCCGGGCGCCTCGCAGGCCAGGAGCGTGGGTCTGACCCCTCATGGCGTCCTGTCAGGGGGCTTAGAGAAGCTCCCATAAGGCATATACTACGGGGGGCAGGAAAGAACTGCTGTGTCTGTCCTGGGAGCCTGTAGTCGTTGTACCTTCTTGAAGTTCAGTTTTGGCAAGGCAGAGGCCCTGGTAGAGCTTGAGTCAGCTTCATTTGCCAGGTAGTTTGAGACATGTGCACTCAGCACCGTGGTCGCCATCACCAGATGGGCCAGGTCGGCCTCCCCGCCTGCTTGTCTTTAAGGTCAGTCATCAGGGGCTTCCGTGGCACACGCAGGCGAGACAGCCGGATCTCCACACTGTGGTGCCGGGGGAGGGGCTGGCGCCCATCTGGACCAGCTAGGACTCTCCCAAGAGCCTCTCGGTGCCTGACGCCACGCTGGCAGCAGTAAACAGCTGTGGGGGGCCCTTCCGGTTTGGAAGTTGGCAACTGCTGTCAGGCAGGGCCTTCCCAGCCGCTGCCAGTTGGCAGTCATGTACCCTCTCACCCTCACACCCCACCCTAGAGTATGGTGTTAGGGTTTGGACATCTCCACCAGTGTCATCAGCAGTCGGAGCTAGCCGATCTGAGGCCAGGACCTTCTTGCAGATCTCCCGTGTGGATTCAGCAGCCCAAGGGCTATTCTCCGTTGCTTTCCCAGCCGTAGGCGGGAGCTGGATGGCAGTGGAGCGGCAGGGACACACAGCCATGTGAGACACCTGTGTGGATGCTGGAGCTCTCAGGGGGAAGGTGAGCTAGCTGAGCCATCGCACCGGCCCCTGTGTTGTGGCTCCCCGGACCAGCCTTTGTTTCCCCGTCTTGGCGGAGAGCTTCTGTTCTGCTTAGCTTGGCGGCAGCTCCGGACATGGCGTGCCAGCGTACTTCATGCCCCTTCTCTGGCCCTGTCCACGGTTTTATCTGTTAATTTCATTCAGAAGACAGAGGCTGCGATCTTCAGGCTGCTGGCATGTCATTCACCGAGTCCACATGAGCCCTGGGGCTGGCCTCGGGCACCCTGAGTCCAGGACTCGGGAGCAGGACGAGCGTGGACCCAGGGGCAGCGCTCGGCAAACCTCACTGTTGAGTGGACTTCAGCTGCCCTCCTGGGAGCTGCATGGATGCTGCGACTAGAAGTTGCTGGTCCAGTGCCGTGGAGACCAAAGAGGTCACGGAATTGAAATAAGTGCTGTTAGAGGGTCACCAGGGTCTCCAGGGACCTGCGGAAGACGAGGACCGGGACATATGCCCCGTTGAGACAGGTGCCAAGGAGGCGAGCCCCTCAGGCGTGGTGGATTGTTCCCGTATGACAGCAGTTGCTGTTGGCGGGCACCGGGGCACCTCCCCGGCTGAGGGAGCAGGAACGACAGAGGGCTGCCAGGGATGCCTGGTGCCCCCACACAGCCTGTCTTTCTGCAGTTCCTTCTAAAGAGAGGTTTGTTGTTTTGTCTTGTTGGCTTGTTTATTTGGGGGGTGAAAGAGCGACAGGGAGAGTGATCTTTCATCCAGCTGCACCCCTCCAGTGGCTCCAGGAGCAGCCAGGCCCCAGCCAGGAGCCGGAGAATCCATCCTGGCGTCTCGGGTGGGGTACCAAGCGTGAGTCCTTGGACCGTCTCCTGCTGTCCCAGGCCCGTCAGCGGGGCGCTGGAGATGAAGCAGGGCAGCCTTGTGGAGTACGGTGTCACAAGCAGCGCTCGCTCAGTGCTCTGGCCCCGGGATACAGTCCTGCCGTGAGACACTGGATGCAGAGGGAATAAGACAGAGCGAGCTTGCTCAGAGTTCAGAGGGTGGGACTGAATGTCCAATGCGTACAGATGACTTTCTGGACGTGAGGAGGCAGCGGGTGTTGGTCAGGAGAGGGGACACACACAGCCCCCAGCCCTGCTAGGCTCACGCCTGTGCTGTCAGGCTCACGGCGGACGGAGGCACACGCAGCTGTCTGCCTCTGTGCCGCCTTGTCCCCTGCTTAGCCTGCGGCTGCAGATGACTGCAACACGGGCAGGCAGGAGGCGGGCGGGCTCAGACCTGCCCGAGCAGGGTTCATTCCAGAGATGCGCACCTGCTGGAAGTGCCCAGAAGTGCCCGGCTGTTTCCTGCACCAGAGCCCCGAGCTACAGGCAGCATGGGCTTCACTCACGCGAATGCGTTGCAAGAAATACGGCATTTGGCAATTTTGCTGTTGCGCAACACCTCGGACCCAGATGGCCCGGGCCAGTGCCAGGTGTGGCCTCAGGCGTTGTGTTAAGACAGTAAAGAGCGTGGGAGGTGCAGAAGCAGTAAAGCACCGATTGCAGTGGGACAGTCCTCAGGGGGCTCGGCTGCCGTCATGGAGCCGTGTCGGGCTGCTCACTGTGAGGGGCTGCCCAGTCCCCTTGGCTCACGGTCCCCTCAGCTCACCGTGTCGCCTTCTGGGGTGCACACCAGCAGGGTGCTGGCTGGGCCCTCCACGCAGCATGTGGGTTCCTCTGCTTTCCTGTGACTTTCCCTCCGGGTTGGAGAGGCCTCTGGCCGCCGTGAGGCCTCCGATGAGAGCCTGGGCGTGCAGGCCAGCCGCCGCAGGAGCGTCAGCCCGCAGGCTGGCAGGTGAGCTGCTCGCAGGCAGCTCGCTTGGCTTTGCAGCATCTCATCATGGTTCCTTTGGTTTAGCTGGGTTGGATTTGTTGTGCTTCTGGAGTGGACATTCAGCCAAAAGACTGTTTAGCCATTATCCCCCTTAAAATGTTCACTTCTGTCCAATTCCAGAATATCAGTTCTGTTTCTTCACGTGCTGAGTGGCGCAGGTGTCCTGCCCCCGTACTTCAGGTGTGAGCGCCTGCGCCGGGTGTGTGTCCTGGCTGCATGGCTCTGCCACTGCCCATGGTGTGCGAGGCTGGTGGGCACTTCCTGACGGTGCAGCTGCAGCTTCAGCAAGCTCTCTGGACTGTCCCCATGCACACCCTTAGGGCTGTGCGAGGTGGAGCCGTCCGCAGCTCCGTCCCCCAGGTCTGCACACGCATGCCTGGAGTTGGAGCTGCGAGTGCGCAGCTGGTCTGAGCCTGGCAGCACATCAGTGGGCTGTCCCTCAAATCCTACAGCCAGAAGCAGCTGGCCTTGACACCCAGCTGTGCACATCTGCCTGGGAGCACTCTACCTGCCCGTGGTGGGAGCAGCGGAGGGGCCACAGCCTGCCTCGCCCCACCAGCCTAGGGCAGAGCTCCCCACTCTGAGCTGTTGTGTTCTGGTTTCCTGAAACCTAGGTTTGCCCAGAAAGGCACAAAGTATTGACTTTGCTGTAACAAAAAGTTCAGACAAAACCCTTGGCTTTTGTGTTTTGTTTTAAAGATTTATTTATTTTAAAGCAGAGTTAGGGGTGTGGGCACTGCTGGGCAGGTGTGCTGTGCCAGCCACAGGTGTGGACACTGCGTGGGACCTGTGTGAGCAGGAGCTGTTAAGGCGTCCCATAGGGGGCGCCACTTGATGTGCTGGCTGCACCGTTTCCCATGCAGATCCCTGCTCATGATCTGAGCAAATACAAGATGGCCCGAGTGCTTAGACCCTTGCAGCCACGGAGGACACTCAGAACTCCTGGCTCCGGCCTGGCCCAGTGCTGGCTCCTGCACCATCCGGGGAGTGAACCCGCAGAGGCTGGCTGTCGGTGACGCTGCTCTCAAAATCACTGAGGAAAATAAAGAAAACAAATACCTCAGCTGTGAGATGTTGAAGTGCCGTGCTTGGCGCTGGGGTCTGCTTCCACTTTATAATCCTGTTGTTTGTCTTGCAGTGAGTGTTGAAAAGGTAGACCTGAAGGGGCTGTCGCACACACAAAGTGACCGAAATGTGGACTGCTCCTTTGAGGTAAGGGGGTCCCCGTCTCAGGGCTGGGAGGGACATGCTGGGCCAGCAGAGGTGCTCAGCTGGGTTGCATGGCAAACGCGCCTCAGGGCTCGTGGGAGCTTGCCTGCCCAGGTCCCCGTCGCTGGCCCCAGGGTTAGGGCTGCTGAGGAGTCGTGGCAGTGAGGCCACAGGGATCCATTGGAGGGGTCTCTGCCCTGCTCTGGGGCACCTGTGCCCACCTGCTCATCCAGGGGAGGAATGTCCCTGCGAGCACCCTGGATGCCTCCCTTGGGCTGTGCTGGCCAGAATTCAGTGTCTTGGTTGTCAGCTGCCGAACGCTGAGAAGTGTCCTGCAGCTGATTGGGCCCCCTGGCTGCCGGCAGCATGGTGCTCAGGCGTCGCTGGAGGCTGGCTTGGCAGCAGGTGGACATGTGGCGTAGGTGCGTTCCTCTGACGGGGAGCCACGGGAGCGTGCTCAGGAGGAAGAGATGGTTGCTGCGTGTCTGCGTCCCCTCCGTGGGGGCTGCTGCTGCTGGAGCACTCTGTGTCCCCAGGGGGTGCAGGGACCCTGGTTTCCTGTTGGCAGGAAGGTGGCTCTGCATGATTTCTTTCTGATGCTGGCGGCATGTATTTTGAAAGCGTTGTGCTGGTCCTAGTGGGCTGGGCTTTGCTCCAGGCCTTTGGTCTGATTCCAGGGGGCATGCCATGTAACAGGTGCTCCAGGCTGGCTCAACCTTCCTACAGGGAGGTTCTGATGAGGACGGGGTGGCAGGCTGCTGGGCTGGCTCCCTGCCCTGGGGCCCTGGCCGTGCTCACACAGCTGTGTCCGTGCAGTGGGCCAGTTCCAGCACGGCAGCAAGCTCTTCCCGAAGGACCATGGCGCGTGCCTGAGGGGTGTGTTGTGAGGTGACCAGAGGGCAGCTCTGGGTGACCTCGCCTCCCCACGCGGGCACTGTGCACCTGTGTGCCCCTTGCCCCCACTGCCCAGGCTGGCTCTGAAGCTCACAGGGCTGCAAGGAGGGTGTTCACAGTCGATTGAAGGACTCCGGCTCCTGACTGCAGATCCCACCGGCTGCAGGGGCTCGAGGACTGCTGTGGGCAGGACAGCGTCCCCTCCCCTTCGGTCCCCCCTGCAGAGCTAACTCTTAACTTGACCACAGACCTCCCCGTAAAGCTGAACTAAACCTGGGAAAGGAGGAGGGGGAGCGAGGGGATGTAAACTAAGCCAGGAGTCTGTTTTCTTATTCTGTTTTTCTGAGAGACAGAAACAGGAAGACAGAGTGAGCTCCCATCTGCAGTAGCCAGGGCTGGGTCAGCCTCTGGACCGGAAGTCCGTCGCTGCCTTGCAGGCAGGGCCTCGTCGGCAGGAGGCTGGGGTCACCCACACTGCTGAGCTGGGACACCGGAGCTGCTGCCCTGACTGCGGTGCAGCATTCACAACCAGCTCTCGGAAAGGCATTGTGAGAGGGCCTCCCCTTGCAAGCCCCGGGTTCCCATACGGGTGCTGGTTCCTATCCCAGCTGCTCCCCAGCTCCCTGCTTGTGGCCTGAGAAACAAGTAGAGGACGGTCCTGCACCTGTGTGGGAGACCTGGGAGAAGCTCCTGGCTCCTGGCTTCGGACTGGATCAGCTGCGGCCGTTGCGGCCACTTGGGTGAACTAGCAGATGGGAGATCTTTCTCTCTGTCTCTCCTCTCCATGAATCTGATCTGCCTTTCTAATAATAAGAAAAGAACTGTGAGGAGCATGGGGAGTCCCAGAGTAGCAGAAGATACTTGCGGATCACTTAGCTGGTAGAGTCTCTGTTCACAACAGAGTCTGTAGTCAGAAGACCTGTCGGGGCAGATCTCCCCGGCCTGGCCACAAGCGCCAGCGTGGGAGCCTAGGACAGACCTGGAATCTCAACACTGCTGGAACATACTTTGGCAGTTTCTTTTAGTAAGTTTGAGATGCACCTGCCTCAGCTCCATAGCTGGGAATTTCCCCAAGGGAGCTGCAGTGTCTGTCTCTGGAAGATGCACTCCAGCCCGGTCCTGGGTGTGTGTGTGGCAGTGCGCTGGAGTGGGCTGCTGATCCGGCCCGGTCCTGGGTGTGTGTGTGGCAGTGCGCTGGAGTGGGCTGCTGATCCGGCCCGGTCCTGGGTGTGTGTGTGGCAGTGCGCTGGAGTGGGCTGCTGATCCGGCCCGGTCCTGGGTGTGTGTGTGGCAGTGCGCTGGAGTGGGCTGCTGATCCGGCCCGGTCCTGGGTGTGTGTGTGGCAGTGCGCTGGAGTGGGCTGCTGATCCGGCCCGGTCCTGGGTGTGTGTGTGGCAGTGCGCTGGAGTGGGCTGCTGATCCGGCCCGGTCCTGGGTGTGTGTGGCAGTGTGCTGGAGTGGGCTGCTGATCCGGCCCGGTCCTGGGTGTGTGTGGCAGTGTGCTGGAGTGGGCTGCTGATCCGGCCCGGTCCTGGGTGTGTGTGTGGCAGTGTGCTGGAGTGGGCTGCTGATCCGGCCCGGTCCTGGGTGTGTGTGTGGCAGTGCGCTGGAGTGGGCTGCTGATCCGGCCCGGTCCTGGGTGTGTGTGTGGCAGTGCGCTGGAGTGGGCTGCTGATCCGGCCCGGTCCTGGGTGTGTGTGTGGCAGTGCGCTGGAGTGGGCTGCTGATCCGGCCTGGTCCTGGGTGTGTGTGTGGCAGTGTGCTGGAGTGGGCTGCTGATCCGGCCCGGTCCTGGGTGTGTGTGGCAGTGTGCTGGAGTGGGCTGCTGATCCGGCCCGGTCCTGGGTGTGTGTGGCAGTGTGCTGGAGTGGGCTGCTGATCCGGCCCGGTCCTGGGTGTGTGTGGCAGTGTGCTGGAGTGGGCTGCTGATCCGGCCCGGTCCTGGGTGTGTGTGTGGCAGTGCGCTGGAGTGGGCTGCTGATCCGGCCCGGTCCTGGGTGTGTGTGTGGCAGTGCGCTGGAGTGGGCTGCTGTTCCGGCCCGGTCCTGGGTGTGTGTGGCAGTGTGCTGGAGTGGGCTGCTGATCCGGCCCGGTCCTGGGTGTGTGTGGCAGTGTGCTGGAGTGGGCTGCTGATCCGGCCCGGTCCTGGGTGTGTGTGGCAGTGCGCTGGAGTGGGCTGCTGATCCGGCCCGGTCCTGGGTGTGTGTGTGGCAGTGCGCTGGAGTGGGCTGCTGATCCGGCCCGGTCCTGGGTGTGTGTGTGGCAGTGTGCTGGAGTGGGCTGCTGATTCGGTAGCAGTGTCGCTGGATCATAATTGTTGAAACTAACCAGACTCTCTATTCTGAAAAAAGGGAATGCATACCACAGATGAGTCTGTTGATACACAGTGCTAGAAGACAGAGCCCAGGGCCCGGCACAGTGGCCTAGCAGCTAAAGTCATCGCCTTGAACATGCCAGGATCCTGTATAGGTGCTGGATTTAATCCCGGCACCCCTGCTTCCCATCCAGCTCCCTGCCTGTGGCCTGGGAAAGCAGTGGAGGACGGCCCAGAGCCTTGGGACCCTGCACCCTTGTGGGAAACGCAGAAGAGCTCCTGGCTCCTGGCTCTGGATTGGCTCCGCACCGGCCATTGTGCTCACTTGGGGAGTGAATCATTGGGCAGGAGTTCTTCCTCTCTGTCTCTCCTCCTCTTTGTATATCTGACTTTCCAATAAAAATAAATAAATCTTAAAAAAAGAAGGAGAAGAAGAAAGAAAGCGGAGCCCAGGCCACAGCAGTGGACCGTGCAGCCTGGGCTCCGCAGGAGGGCGGGGTCCGTGGGGATGGCTGGGCTTTGGGGCAGCTTGCAACAATGTATCAGAAGGTTAGTCACCCTCCTCCTCTTGTCCGTAGACCCTGGACTTGGGCGGAAACGGCCTGGACTGTCCTCTTGAATGCAATCGGCCCTGAGCTGCGCGGGATGCTCGGCCCAGGGGCGTGAGCTGCGCGGGATGCTCGGCCCAGGGGCGTGAGCTGCGCGGGGTGCTCGGCCCAGGGGCGGCTGCGCCGTGGAGAGGGCCGTGGGTGTTCCCGGAGCCGCAGCTCACAGCTCCTGCCCTGCCGACCAGTCGCGCGTCTGGGGGCTGTTGCATCTGAGCTTTCTGTACCAGGACCACTGCTTTCTAGAAGGGTGTAGAAGTAACTGACGAACAATTTGAGGTCTCCTGTTGTCTTTCATGGAGTTGGTTTTATTTTTGCTGAAACTGTAGTTGTCAGAAACTAGTTCCTGAGGACATAAAATGAGTATGTAGAGCAAACACCAGAACTTTTTTTATTTAAAGATTTGTTATGTATTTTTCTTGGAAAGGCAAATATACAGAGAGAAGGAGAGAGAAAGATCTTCAATGTGCTGATTCACTCCCCAAGTGGCTGCAATGGCTGGAGTTGAGCTGATCTGAAGCCAGGTGGGGCCCGGTGTGGTAGCCTAGTGTCTAAAGTGCTAGCCTTGCACACACCAGGATCCCATGTGGACGCCACTTCATGTCCCTGCTGTTCCACTTCCCTCCAACTCCTTGTTTATGGCCTGCAAAAGCCACAGGAGGATGGCCCAGGTGCTTGGGACCCTGCACCTGTGTGGGAGACCTGGAAGAGGCTCCTGGCTCCTGGCTTCAGATCAGTTCAGCTCTGGCCATTGCAGCCACTTGCGGAGTAAACTAATGGATGGAAGATTTTTGTCTCTTCTCCGTAAATCTGACTTGCCAATAAAAATAAATTGATCTTAAAGAAAAAAGTACTAAATTAGAATTTGTACACGTGGGAATGTCCACTTCGGCAGCTCTTCTGGCTTCACTGGTGAGACTCGAAGGCGGCTGTGCAGTGAGGATCCTGCTGCAGGTGAGGACGCAGCTGGAGGCGGCCGAGTGCGCGCGGAGGCCGCGCCCTGTGGCATCTCAGATCATCAGCTGCAGCTTCTCTTGCGCTCTCTCATGTTAAAGTTTATATACTTAGGGCCCAGCACAGTATCCTAGCAGCTAAAGTTCTCGCCCTGCACGCACTGGGATCCCATAAGGGCGCCGGTTCTAATCCCAGCAGCCCCACTTCCCATCCAGCTCCCTGCCTGTGGCCTGGGAGAGCAGTGGCGGACGGCCCAAAGCCTTGGGACCCTGCACCCACACGGGAGACCTGGAAGAGGCTCCTGGCTTCGGATCCGCTCAGCTCTGGCCACTTAGGGAGTGAACCATCGGACGGAAGATCTTCCTCTCTGTCTCTCCTCCTCTCTGAATATCTGACTTTGCAGTTAAAAATAAAATAAAAGCAAAGCCCTTGGGGACACATGTCTCCTGTATCATAGTGCCTGTTTCAATCTTGCCTCTTCTGCTTCTCACTCAGCTTTCTGTTAACGCACACCCTGGGGACAGCAGTGCTGACCAGGCCACGGGTCCTGGCCCCCCACGGGAGAGGCCCACGCGGAGGCCCACGCCTTTGCCGAGAGCCACACCTTGCCTGGCTGCTGTGAGCAGTTGGGCTGAGCCTGAAGCCGGGAGGTGTGCTGGCCTGAGTGGGCGGTGAGAGTACAAGCGGGATGACTGGAGTCAGATTGATGATTAGAAAGTCAGATTGACAGAGAGAAGGAGAGACAGAAAGCTCTTCCATCCGTTGATTTACTCCCCAAGTGGCAGTAATGGAAAGAGCTGAGCTGATCTGAAGCCAGGAGCTCTTCCAGGTCTCCCACGCGGGTGCAGGGTCCCAAAGCTCTGGGCCGTCCTCAACTGCTTTCCCAGGCCACAGGCAGGGAGCTGGATGGGAAGTGGAACAGCCAGGACGTGAAGTGGTGCCCATATGGGATGCCAGCGCCTTCAGGGTGAGGACTTTAGCCACTAGGCCACTGCCCCATGCCCTCTGCCTTTCAGATAAACAGATAATAGTTAAAAAAAAACATGTAAAAGGGAAAATCTTTTAACAAGGAATACTTCCATATTACACATAATCAGAAAGGAAAGACTCCACGCCTGCAGTGACTGGTGTTGACTTGTGAATTGTATAGCGGTGCTGGAAAGTCCTTTTCAGCTGTTATCCCTGCCCTGCAAGTTACTCTGAAGAAACACTTGAATTACACCCTAAATCAGTGTTACATTATCTGCTCTGAATACCTGCTTGGACAAGGGATGAGTCTGCCGGCAGCTCTTGGGGTCGTAGCTGCAGACACATCCAGGCTGGTGGGCAGAGGGCGAGTGGTGCTGCCCCTGCAGCCGTGTGGTCCCCGGCCTGCTGGACACGGCCTGGCCCCTGTGGCCCGTTCTTGCCCCCCTCTCTCTCTGCCTCTCCCTGTCTCCTTCCCAAGTGCTCTGGATACACTGCTCTTGTGAATGTGCTCCTTGTGGTGGCCTGGTGGGGGCTTGGCGGCCGCTCAGTGCGAAGCCCCTGCCCACCCCATGGGGGATCCTCCCAGGCTTCCTGTTGCTGCTGCGAGATTCCTTGTCTGCACGCCCTCCTCTTGTGGGACTTCTGGACTGCTTCCTGTGGATGTTGTGCTCTGTTTGGGTGGGTCGTGTGGTGCTGCCCACCCCGGCAGAGGGGCACTCCCACTGCCTTCTTTCCTTCTCGGGAGCTCTCGAGTCTGGCAGCTGCTTTTCCATAGCCTGCCCTTTGGGGTGTGTTCTCCTCATAATTGACAGGATTAAGCCTGCACGGCTTTGGTCTTGGGCCCCCTGCCCAGGATCATGCAGGCTGGACTTCGCACAGGCCATCTGGGTGACTGGCACCTGCGGCATCATGCCCTCCACGGGCTGATGTGGAAAGGGGATGGGCTGGGGGAACTGGTGCTGCCTGTGGAGAGACCCTGAACATGGCGTGCTCTGCCATGGAGAGTCATTGAGGTCCTTTGTTTCCTTGCTGTGCCTGGGGTGACTCTGAGTGAGCCTGGGGTGCTGGCCCCCAGCTGCAGCATTCCCTGGGGACATGCAGAGTAATGCTGTGGCTGGCGGGTGACTGGGACTTGAGTTCTAGCATGTGCCAGGCTAGCAGAGCGTGCACCTGCTGTGGCCTGTCCCCCCTCCGTGCTCAGACTGAACAGCAAGTGAACAGTGCCTGCCTGCTGGGAACTTGGGGTAACCCTGGGTGTTCCCAAAGCAGGAAGTGAGCTTCAGCGCAGCTGTGCACCCTGAAGCTGAACTGCCGGGGAGCAGATGTGTTTGTAGTGTGGGGACAGGGAAGAAGGTTCCAGTCAGAAACAGGTGGGAGAGGGTAAGAACAGTGTTTCTTGGCAGTTGTTCTTAAGTAAATGTCAGTTGTGCTGTGGTGCCCACTTGGTGTCTGGCTGCAGGGGCCGTGGGCAGCGCAGCCTTGGTGGCTGTCCTGGCAGTGGAGGGGGCCGGGTATGTGGCCTGCAGCACAGCCTCACAGCTGCCGTGGTTCTGAGGACTGAGTGCTGTGGAAGGGGCGCCCCTGTCTCAGGGCCAGGAGGGCTGTGCCTGCCTCTGTCCAGCCCAGCATGGAGGCGGGCGGGTGGATCTAACTCTGGCCTCTCTCTAAGCCCACTTTAGAGTGACACATTAGTTCATCCTCTTTCCTGACTTGGAATCCTTTGGTAACTTCTGGACCTCAGGACAAGGTCTGTCTTTGGTGTTTGTCCCTTCCCAAGGCAGCCTAGCTTCCCTGGTCATGTACTGTCCCCCTGTTGGGTGTATGCCTTCAGCTGACCTGTGGCCATCAGAAGTCACCCTGTAGCTGGCATCTTCTGTGACTGTGGCCCTGGGCGTCTGGTGGTGGCAAAGACCCGGCCGACCCCCCGGGACCCTCCGAGGAATTGGCAGCACGGCGCCCGTGCAGGTGGCTGGCAGGCAGCTGGGCAGGCCTGTCCGCAGAGCCCTGTCGGCTGCCTTTCCCAGCATTCCGGCTGGCTGACCACAGGCTGCCTCCCTGCCCTGCTCGGGAAGACCTGGCATCCTGCCGTGCTCACGCCGCCCAGCCTGCAGCCGTGGCCACTGTCGGCAAGGACAGCCCTTCTCTAGGGCTCACGGTGCTGTGTGAGTGCTGGCACACGCAGTGTAGACGCTGGCTTTGGGTAATTGGTGGAGGACATGGAAATCACTCGCTCACTGGAACGTGTACGTGTGTGCTGTGAATTAAGTGTGTGTGTCTTTAAGGTTTGTTTGCTTATTTTTTTTAAGGTCTTGTGGTCGGATTCTTCAGTAACATCAGTAACCAAATCTTCTTGTGAAGTGACTGAATTTATTTCAAAGGTAAGGTGATTAAGGAGTCTAAATTTTAATATTCCCACTCCTAGGCAGCCGTTGACACTGCCAAGTGACTTCAGCAGCCCCTTCCCCAGCAGCAGGGAGACGCTCCTGAGGGGGCGAGCCGTGTGCCTGAACTCCCCGAGATGTGCGGCCACGAGGCCGCCAGTCCTTGCATGTGGCTCCCTCTGGAGCCCAGCCTCCTTGGCAGAAGCCGAGGGAGAGGCAGGTACGTCAGCCAGTCTGCGCTCCGCACTGGGCTTCCCTCCGGTTAGGGTGGGCTCAGGGAATACCATGAACAAAAAGTTCTACCACAGAGAGACCCCTCTGCCCACACGTACACACGTGCACATCCGTGTGCCTAGGCATTTAAAGCCCCTTGCCCGCGTCTGGGCGGTGGACGTGGCCCGTGTGTGCACAGTCGCTGGCCCGCGCCTGGGCGGTGGACGTGGCCCGTGTGTGCACAGTCGCTGGCCCGCGCCTGGGCGGTGGACGTGGCCCGTGTGTGCACAGTCGCTGGCCCGCGCCTGGGCGGTGGACGTGGCCCGTGTGTGCACAGTTGCTGGCCCGCGCCTGGGCGGTGGACGTGGCCCGTGTGTGCACAGTCGCTGGCCCGCGCCTGGGTGGTGGACGTGGCCTGCACTCAGCTGTGGTTGGTCTCACAGTTTCTGAAGGAAAGCAGGAAGAGGAGTCAGGCTTCGCGTGGGAACACGTTGGCTCCGGCTGAGCCTTGTAGCCAGCCAGGCACGAGAGGGCACCCATCTCCCAGCTCCTAGGGTTACGCCCGGAAAGCCACACGCCCTCCGTGCTGCTGGCCCGGGCCACCGTCTCTCTTAGAAGGACTCCTGCGTCCCACGATGACTGCCAGCACGGGGCTGGCTGCTGGTCTGGGTAGCTGCCTCGCTGTCTGCCGTCCTCGGGCCGGCACGCGCCGGGGCTGTGCTGAGGCCTCCGAGAGCCGGGCCTTTCCGACTGCCTCCTCTGCTCGGGCCAGGTCATCTCTTGCCCCTTCTCTGCTCTGTGCAGGCTGCTGAGTCCCCGTCTGGCCTCACTGCCATGGGGTGACAGCTCTTATGTTAGAGCTTGTGTCTGTGCCCTGGAGCCTCTTGTCTCCCCTCTCCCTGGACCCTAAATGCTATGGGTCCTCGCGGCCACTGCAAAGCCTGTCTGGGACCCCTCAATGCTAGTTCCTCCTGCCGCTCCGGCTGTCAGCATGTCTTGTACGTTGTAATTGAATGGTGGGTGACATGTTTGGAAGATTCTGGAAAACTGATTGGAGTGTCAGGCCACCAGTGGGTCCTTAGAGTGGAGGGGCTTGGGGGGTGTCACCATGCGCCCCCAGCAGGTGGTGGCTGTCCTCGTGGCTTGCCTCACTGGGCTCTCCGTGGTCCCTGTGGCCTCTGGCACTGAGTGGGATTTCTAGACCTTACCAGGTTCTTGGCTTGTGGGTGCTGTTCCTGGACGGGCCTTGGAGCGGGGCGTCTGGGCGGGCTTTCTCCCCTGCACTGGCCTCTGCTCTGTGTCGGTCCGGGGCCTTGGTCCCCAGGGGGCTTCATGCCCCTTCTGCAGGGGCTTAGCTTCCACCCTTCTCCCAGCAGTGTGGGTCTCCGCATCGCTTGGTGCCAGAGGCAGGAAGCACTGCCCTGTTCCCTGGTGTGCAGGCTTGCCTTGGGCTGGGAGGGCATCCGGGAGCCTGCCCAGGGCTGTGGCGTTACTTGGCTCTCGGCATTCACACCCAGGGAAGAGGACCCAGGGAGGTGGCTGTGTTCACGCTGGCCGCATGCAGCCTGTGGGGCCCCTCATGTGGTGCCACAGGAGAGGCCACCTGTGTCCTTGTGTCCAGTGGTGGCCTTGCTGCTTGGCGTCCTGGTGGCTCTGGGCAGGTCAGGCTGCAAACTGTTTCTTGCTGTTCCAGTAGGGGTGCTGCTCTGGGGGCTACCTCCGTGCCGGGTGGGTGCGGGACCCATGGGTGCTGCCAGCTGAGGGTCCTGGGAGCAGCAAGCGCTGACATGCCTCCAGCACCTCTGCTTCTGTTGCAGCTGTCGCAGCTCCACCCGGAGGAGAGCTCGGAGAAGCTCATTCCGTGCTTAGCTGCCCCAGAGCCGTTTTACGCCGAGCGAAGCCACGTGGACCTGGACACAGGCCTGAGGTCGGTTCTCCCTGGCTGTCCCTGGCAGGCGGGCAGCCTCTGCTGAGCGTTCCTGGGGCCTTGGAGGTCTCAGGAAGTCATGTTGATGGCCACTTCTGCGCTGGCGTTGCCAGTTGAGAGCGCTCCAAGATAGAACTAGGGCCGCGTAAACAGCCTGCGTTTGGCACAGTGACACGAGGCCTGGTGCCACCAGGGACCTGGGCTGGCATCTTGGGCCTGACTGCGAGTCCTGGCATCCTGTGGGTGACAGTGGCCGCTCCCAAGTTCTGGCTCTCTGCCCACACCCCAAGTCCTCGTGGGGGGAACAGCAGGAGCGGCCTCGGTGTGCGTCTGTCCCAGGGCTCCGGGGGGCGTCAGTGCCCACCGAGTCATGGTTTGATTCTCAGGTATTTGTCTTCGTTACCTTCTCACGTATTAAAAAATGACCACGTGAAGAAGTTTTTCAGCACTGCAGCGCCCAGCCCACCGCTTCCGGGTCCAAGTGAGTCTGTGCATGAGGGCCTGCGGGAAGGAGAGTTCTCGGGCCGCCTGTAAGGCTTGACGGCGCGTGTTTTCTGTACAGGTCCTGGCAACCCTTCCCTCTCCAAAGTGGGCGCCATGATGGGTGTGTCTGGAAGGTAAGGGCCCTCTGCATGGGCGCACACAGCTGCGTCCATCCCCTCTGGGCCTGGCAGGAGGGGCAGGGCCTGAGCAGAGATCCAGCGAGCAAATCCCCAGAGCGATTCTTGGGGGCACGTGTCCGTTGCAAGCACTGGGCTCAGGCCCCCTGTGCAGCAGCTCCCCACGGGGACCTCAGCGTCTGCGGAAGAGGCCTGCTGTCTGGAGCGACCTGATGCCAAGCTGGGCCAGGGGGTTTGTCATGTACACTTCCTCTGTTGATGGCTGTGTGGAGAGTGGGGTTTTTCTGAGGGACGCTGATCTTGCTCAGTCTCTTGCCTGGTCCCTGGGAAGCAGCACCGAGTACGTATGCAGGCAGGGGGCATGGCAAGCTGGCTGCGCTTGGCAGCCTCTTGTGCCCTGAAGACCTGGACCGTCACGGCTTCACTTGGAGCCAGTTTGAGTGCTTTGCCAGAGCCAGCTGTTTGAGAGTAACACAGTGCAGGTGTTTGCCCCTGCAGGTGTTTGGGCTTGCCTCACAGTTCCCGGCTCACCCCTCAGTGCCCGGCTCACCCCTCAGTGCCTGGGCTTCCCCCACCTCTGGCACCCAGTCTCAGTCCTTTGTGAATCGCACCCTGAGAGGCAGCACTGATGGAAGCATGTGGAAGAGCTGGATGGGGGCCCCGGCTTCAGCTTGGCCTAGTCCTGGCTTCTGAAAGCATTGTGGATGAACTGACAAAGGAGGTGCTTTCTGCCTCTCACACGATTAGCTAAACTATTTTTCTAAGTAAAAAATGAGAGATTGGGCATTTTGGCCCAAAGTCTTGTGGTGGTCCTTGTGTTCACACCCAGAGGCACGCACACGGTGCGGATACACACGGCCGAGTCAGATGGGTGTGTAACCACAGATGCCTGTCCTCATGACAGGAATGCAGGGCCGGGGAGGCCAGCGTGGGAGAGGGCAGAGTGTGTGCAGGGTTCACAGTGGACAGTGACGTGGGAGGCCATCCAGGAGGTGCTGGCCTGTGCATACCCCCGGCAGAGGTCCTGGGTGGGGTGTTCAGACGCTGTCTTCCTGCGTCCCTGCTTGTCCTGCAGGCCCGTGTGCGGAGTGGCTGGCATCCCGGCCTCTCAGAGCAGCGCCCAGCATCACCTGCCACACGCCGCCAGCGCAGCCACCGCCCTGCCCCACTGTTCTCACTCAGCGGGCGCAGGCTCAGCGCTGGCCTACCGCACCCAGATGGACGCCTCGCCCGCCATCCTCATGCCTTCCGGTCTGCAGGCCCCCCAGACCCAGGAGCAGAACGGGATTTTAGACTGGCTGCGGAAGCTGCGCTTGCACAAGTATTACCCGGTCTTCAAGCAGCTCACCATGGAGAAGGTGTGTCATTGACTGGGGGTGCCAGGCTCCGAGCCACCTGTGTTCCCACCTCATCTCTTGAGCAGTTACGCTGGTTTCTGAAGTGCCTGTGGTGGCGAGCTGGGGCTGGCAGGGCACGGCTTCCCTCTGCGGAAGCTCCGGGCAGCAGGACAGGCTTCCCCAGCTCTGTAGGTCTCGCTCCCCAGGGCCGCCGTTTGCTCAGTCCACCTCCCGCGCTGGTCCAGAGCAGAGGCGGGGCTGACTTCTGGGCAGGCCTGTGGTCACTGGTCACTGATGAACTCTGCGCTCCCCCTGCTGGGCAGAGTGGCTTGGTGGCTTTTTGTAAACTGGGAAGTTGGTGGGTCAGACTACAGCTCTTCCAGAAGGCAGGCTGCTGGCGGGCAGTGAGAGGCAGGGCTCTGCTAACTGGCCATTTGTTTATCCTATGGAAGTTTTTGAGCCTCACTGAAGAAGATCTCAATAAATTTGAATCCCTCACCATGGGAGCAAAGAAAAAACTCAAGACTCAACTGGAGCTGGAAAAGTAAGTGTGCCCTGCTTCACTGGGCCTGCCCCGACTGCCAGTGCCACCTGACGCCTGGGGTGGCCCGCTGGGGGCACCGGGGGTGTGACTTCACCGCGCCTGTGCTCGTGTGTTACCAGGGAGAAGTCAGAGAGACGCTGCCTGAACCCCTCAGCCACGCCCTTGGTCACCAGCAGCGGGGTGGCTCGTGTGCCCCCCACCAGTCACGTGGGGCCCGTGCAGACGGGGCGCGGCAGCCACGCTGCAGGTAGGTGAGGGCTCTGTCCCGACTTTCACGTGTGCCGTGCTGAGTCAGCATCTGGAGACCGGTGAACTTGAGTTGTTCAGCCAGCTAGACACAGAGCCGGGCAGGGCTGCAGTGGGCAGACACAGAGCTGGGCAGGGCTGCAGTGGGCAGACACAGAGCCGGGCAGGGCTGCAGTGGGCAGACACAGAGCCGGCTGTGGGGGAGGGCAGGGCTGCAGTGGGCAGGCACAGAGCCGGCTGTGGGGGAGGGCAGGGCTGCAGTGGGCAGACACAGAGCCGGGCAGGGCTGCAGTGGGCAGACACAGAACTCTGCCCAGGTTGTGCGCCTCCCTCCCGCACCACCTGCCTTCTGCTCTGGGGGTGTGACTCGCTAGGGATTTGGTTTCTCAACTGCATCCTCTTCCTCCTGCCTTGTATGATGGGAACAGAAAGGGGAGATGGCGGTGTCCTACTCCGTGACTGACTAAAGGGTGTTCTGTCAGCCCCTTGGTAAACAGGCCCTGCCAGTGATGGCGGGGTCACTGGCCTGGGATCCTGGGCGGTGTGTGGGCCACCAGCCTCAGGGCCCGTCTGGAAGGGGTGACCCTGGGAGGGGTGCCCGGTTCCGCTGGCCTGCGGGGTCAGGGAATGTGGGACCGTGCTGTGTTTCTTTGCAGAGCTGCGGGTGGATGTGGAGCAGCCCTCTCACCAGCTGCCCCGGGAAGGCAGCTCCTCCGAGTACTCCAGCTCCTCCTCCAGCCCGCGGGGCGTGCAGGCCCGGGAAGAGAGCTCTGACAGCGCGGAGGAGAATGAGCGGCGTAAGGATGCGGCTGGGGCAGGGGCCGCCCTCGGCCGCCGGGCCGCTGGCTGACGCTGTGCTTGTCCCTGTAGGTGTGGAGACCCTGGAGGGCCCCGAGAAGGAGAAGCCGGTCATGCTGCTGAGCCACTTCACGTCCAGCGCGGCCAGGCCCACGGCCCAGGTCCTCCCCGTGCAGAACGAGGCCGGCTCCGGCCCGGCGGCACACCACCCCCTGCCCCCGCAGATGCTGCCTGCCGCCTCGCACCTGGCACCCATCCGGATGCTGAACTCTGTGCACAAGTCCGAGAGGGGGGGCTCGGACGTGAGGCTCCTCTCGCCGTCTGTGCACTCGCTCCTGTCTCTCGAGGAGAGGGGGAAAGGGTCCGGGCCGAGGGGCAGCGTCAAAGTGGACAAGAGCTTTGGCAGTGCCATGATGGATGTGCTGCCCACGTCCTCGCCCCATCAGCCCATGCAGGTCCTCTCTGGACTTTCAGAGAGCAGCTCCCTGTCCCCCGCAGTCTCCTTCGGTCCCCGGGCCAAAGTTGTACACGCATCCACACTGGACAGGGTGCTGAAGACAGCGCAACAGCCGGCCCTGGCAGGGGAGTCGAGCACGGCTGCGACGGGGACGCCGAGCAGCGTGCTGCACGTGGCCCGGCCCCCAATCAAGCTGCTGCTGTCCTCCTCAGTTCCCGCAGACACCCCCATGTCCGGGCAGACGTCCTGTCCCAGCAACGTGCAGCTCAGCGTGCCCCCCGCCGTCATCAGCCCCCGGAACGCTCTCTACACAGCCAGCACCAAAGTTGCCTTTCCTTCAGTGAGCAGTCTGCCCGTGAGCCCTCTGCAGGCCGGCTTCTGTGCCAGCAGCAACACTGCCTCCTCCAGCAGCCTCCCCGCCACGTCCTTTGCTAACATGGCCACGCTGCCCAGCTGCCCGGCCCCCAGCTCGAGTCCTGCGCTCGCTTCTGTCCCGGAGAACAGTTTCTACAGCAGCGGTGCTGGTGGTGGCAGCTCCACGGGGAACATGGCCGCCTCGAGTCAGGGCCACCACCATCATCACCACCATCAGCAGCCCCCAGCGCCGCCGCAGCCTGCGCCGCCCCCACCCGGCTGCATCGTGTGCACGTCCTGTGGCTGCAGCGGCAGCTGTGGCTCTGGCGGCCTCACTGTCAGCTACGCCAACTACTTCCAGCACCCGTTCTCTGGGCCGTCCGTGTTTACCCTGCCCTTCCTGCCCTTCAGCCCGGTGTGCAGCAACGGCTACGTCGGCGCTCAGCAGTATGGCGGCGGCTCCACCTTCCCTGTGGTGCACGCGCCCTACAGCAGCAGTGTCCCCACGGAGCCCGTCCTGGGCGGCCAGTCCACATTTGCTGTGCCGCCCATGCAGAACTTCATGGCGGGGCCTGCGGGCATGTACCAAGCGCAGGGGCTGGTGGGGGGCAGCAATGGCTCCGGTCACAAGAAGAGTGGGAACCTGTCGTGCTACAACTGCGGGGCCACTGGTCACCGTGCCCAGGACTGCAAGCAGCCGTCCATGGATTTCAATCGGCAAGGTACGGGGTGGCACGCACAGACTCTGAATGGCGGCTTTGCCTCCAGGAGGAAGGGCCCCTGTGGGATTCAGTCTGTTCCTGCAGACGCTGCCGTCTGGGGCCAGGAGGGTGTAATGCCAGGTGCCCACTCATGGCACATGTGCAGCCCCACACTTGAGACCCCACAGAAGGGAGCTGCTGCCCCCCTCAGAGCCCCCTCAGATCCTCCCTCAGATCCTCCCTCAGATCCCCCCTCAGATCCTCCCTCAGAGCCTCCCTCAGATCCTCCATCAGATCCTCCCTCAGATCCTCCCTCAGAGCCTCCCTCAGATCCTGCCTCAGATCCTCCCTCAGATCCTGCCTCAGATCCCCCCTCAGATCCTCCCTCAGATCCTCCCTCAGAGCCCCCTCAGATCCTCCCTCAGAGCCTCCCTCAGATCCTCCCTCAGATCCTCCCTCAGTTCCTCCATCAGATCCTCCCTCAGAGCCTCCCTCAGAGCCTCCCTCAGAGCCTCCCTCAGAGCCCTGCACTGCCTGTCTCCATGCTTGTTTGGTCTCGTGGTTAGGTCAAGTGCCTGCGTGGGCTGGTGTCACGCAGGGCCTGTGGCGCTGTGCACGCAGCGCTGGGCTGCAGAGCAGCTGGGCTCTGGGAGCTGAGCGATTGGCCTGGCCTGACTGCTGCCAGGGGTGCCCAGCCGCCTGTCCCGTGCTCGCCCCGAGCCTGTGGCGGGAGGCATCTGTGACTCGGGCCTGGTGGCCCTGCCACGTGGGCTCTCGTGGAGCCAGGCTGTGTCCCTGGAGCCTCCCGCGCAGTGCAGGGTCGAGTCCCAGGAGTGGACGGGTCACCTTGCCCTCGGTCTCGGCCGGATGCACACGCCGCAGAGTGCTGTCCAGGCCCGGGGAGCGGGGCGGCCCCGCGGGTAGCTGCACCCCGGCTTCCCGGCAGCCGTGAAGTGACCCCGTGTCGTCTCTTTCTCCTCTCCAGGTACTTTTAGGTTGAAATACGCGCCCCCAGCGGAAAGCCTGGACTCCACCGACTGAAGTTTTCTCTGGCGACAACATCACTACGCCATGGAGACATGAGGAAAATTAAATACAGAACTGACAAGTCTAGTTGCTGTCGAGCTTAATGTTTAATCCAAAGGTGCTTTACTTGACTAGACTGGAGAGAGAACCCAGCGTAGACATGCATCCAACTCGATTCGTTGCCAAATCCTCGAGCGGAGCTTGACTTCTGGCCTCGCCCAGCAGGCGTCTCCGTGGCGGTGGCCGACGCCGCTCACATGTCTCGGTCCTCCAGGCTCACGTCATTCCAGGGCAGCTACGCAATCAGGGTGGGGTCCCCCGGTCGGACTCCGGCCCCCCCGGGTTAGGGAAATGTCGCCCGTTTTGTTGTTTTTTGCTGAAGCGATGAGGCACTAATCTCTGGGATTTTTAAGGATTGCACTACGAGGAGTGGAACGTGACAGCTGCCGTTTAGGAGACGAACTCCTGAGCCCGGGCAGCGCAGGGGCCTTCCGGAAGTCGTCGAGAGTCGGCACCAGCAGGCCGCGCCACCTGGCACCGCTTCCAGTCTTGGCTCCGTCTTCGCGACCCCTGCTCTGACCACATGCAGCAGCCTGCTCCTGAGGGCCCAGACACGGGAGCACCGCGCGGGAGCTCACGGACACGCAGTGGGGCCCGGCTCCCCGGTTGCCTCTGACAGGTGCACGCTGCTACCAGATCCACACTCGAGACAGACATTTCAACAGGAATACAGTCCTTCGATGTCCGAGCGGAAGGTTTGACATTCTCTCTGTCAGCCGGTTGGTATCAGCCTGGGTACTGACTGGCAGTCCCGTTAAATGCTAGGGGACTTCCGTGGGGGGGTAGACAGAGGGAGACCACCCAGCCCACACGGAGCCCAGGGCTTGCAAGCACCAGATTGGGTTCGTTTAAGGCAGGAAGTAAAGTCCTCTCTAGGTCTTTGACCCCAGTGGGATGAGAGCATCTGGTCTGGGATTTTGGGACTCCGGCCGTCCTGGGTAAAGGGACAGCCCACTCTGGTGACATTACTTAAAATGCTGAAGCCTTCAGTGTTCATACTGGTGGGTTAAGGTCGTGCCAGGAACTTTCCAGCTGAAAATTTTCCATTCCATTCAGTTGACCTCATGTAGAACCACGCAGAGCAGAAGCCCTGTGGGAAGTGAGGTCTGGCGGTGTGTCCTTGAGACGGACTCGCTTCCTGGGCCGGCTTCCGAGGCCTGAGCGCAGACTGCTACTTTTGTTTCTATGCAATGCAGAACGGCCCGTGGTCCTCGGGAGCCCCGGGATGCTTAATGCAGCAGCTGGTAGGACTGGAAACACTACGAAATGTCAACAGTTACTGACACAACTTTGCCTTAACCAGAACTGGCGCTTCGGGTTGAATGACTTAGGCGTGCTCAGTGATGTTGAGGCCGTGGTGGTGGCCCGGATGTGCTGAGAGCCAAACTTCAGATTCCTTTTTTTTTTAACAAAGAAGTATTTTAAATAAATCCTACTTCAACACAGTGAATTTGATGAAAAGTGTCTCATAGCAAAGGTGAAAATCATTTCAGCTTTTGGGTTTAGTCATCAGTACAGGGGAAAGTGTTAACCTTGCCACAGGAAATTGGATCAGACGTGTGACCGAGCTGAGGCCAGCCGGGTGGGCCGTCCGCCCCGCCTGCAGGCGTGTGCAGTGACCCCTCAGGGGGCTGCCAGGGCCACAGGACACTCGGCTCGGAGGCGGCCACAGCTCCCGGGCAGAGCCAGCATTGGACTGGACACTGTCGGCCAGCAGTATTCTCTCTGATGATTCCTCCCAGAAGCAACCAAAGTCGAGAAGCTAAAAGAGCATTTTGCATTTCATCAGGAAACTGTCAGTTTAAAACACAGAAAACGGACTGACCCCTCGGGGTCCTTCGTTCCCCAAGTGGCAGCCTCGACTGGCGGCGCTCTCGCGGGCGGGCGGCCGTGGCACTGGCCACTCGTGCTGGGTGCTGCTGGAGTCTCCGTTTCTCACCCGTGTTTCCGTCGCCTCCCAGCGGGGCCAGAGGGACAAAGGGACTACTGAGTCTTGTTTCCTGAGCAACACAGTTTCGTAATTGGAAAGTGAGAGCGTGCAGGGGCGGGAGCCAGCACTTAGAGAAGACACAGCATTTCCAAAACCAGCAGTCTGTCCGCCAGCAGGCTACGAGAGTCAGCTTGTTAATATAGTAGTTGTACGCCCTGTATTCCCCTTCAGTGTTTAGAACTCTAGTCCTTTATTGTAAGGAGTCAGCATAGTCCACGCACACTACAGATGACGTATTGCGGCACAGTAGTGACGGGTCTCGGGAGGGGCCCTGACCCAGGCTTCGCCCCCACTCTGTGACCAGCGGCCCCCAAGGCACAGATGCCCAGGGAGTGAGTGGGGGCACGTGAAGCCAGTGGTTCACAGTCCTAAGGGTCTGAGTGGAACTGAGCATCTTTTACTAAAACTCGCAATATTCTAGAAAACCATATACTGTGCTGGTGGAGACCAGAGGTCCCGGTCGCCACCCCGAGCTGCGGGAGCAAGCCAGGTCCCCTGCCCGGCCCGTGGGCGCGGCCGGCGTTGGCACCAAGACTGAAACCCTCACAGCTTCTCTTGGACATGTTTTCTTTTTAGGAATGAAGGAAAACTCATTTTTGAGCCATTCTTTTGTCAATTCTACAAAATTGCATGTAACTTTATAAATATTTTTAAAAGATATAGTTTTGTAAATATTTAATATTCTGCTAATTTGATTTTGAATTGTAAATGTCAAGTATTCTGTTTTTGGGATTTTTATGTTTTATTATACTTTGTTAAAAAGGAAAAATTGTACATTTTTAGAATGTTTTTATGAGTAAATTTAATGTACTGAAAATAAAAATTTTAAGGAAGACCCATCGTTGGATCTCGTCAGTTGTGTCTCACAGAGGGCCAGGGAAACGCTAACTCTTGGTCTTCCCGCGCAAGAGACACCGGTGTGTTCCTGAGGCCACGGAGCCCGTCAGGCTGATCCCACACGGGTACCCGTCCGGGTCCTTGGCCCCTGCACCAGTGTGGGAGACCAGAAGCAGCTCCCGGCTTCAGACTGACGCAGCTCTGACCATTGAAGCCATTTGGGGAGTGAACCAGTACATGGAAGATCTTCCTCTCCCCTCTCTCTATAAATAGAAATGAAACCAAAAGCCCCTTTGCGGGTTAAAACAGTTGGCGGGAATAGGTCTCAGGTGCCCTGGGAGGCTGGGGGTGGTGAGGCTAGCCCAGTGTCCTTGCTGGGGTGGGATGAGTGCCACTCTGCCCAATGTTGCTTGTGGTCGGGATACCAGGTACCACCCGACAGGTGGGAGCCTGTGTGTTTCATAGTGCCACTGCTATGCTGTACCAAAGTCACTCCGTGGCTTTACTTTTGATTCTACTTATTTGAAAGGTGAGAGACCGCAATCTGTCCGCCTGTGCACTCCCCCGACACCCCCCACAGCCGGGCTGGGCCAGGGCGAAGCCGGGAGGTCCAGCTGGCCCTCCCATCTCTGTGTCCCAAGGTGCGCATTCGCAGGACCCACAGTCCCCACCCCTCCCATGAAGCACCAGCCTAAACCTCATCTTGATCCAGAGCTTTCTAAACACTGTCTGACCCACACAGAGCTGCCGCAGGCCTCTGCTTGTCTTTGCTGGAATACACCTGTGGCTCCCCTGGGGGGGGGAGGGGTGTCCCTCCTGGAGAGTGCCCCCACCAAGCTTACAGAAACGGAGTCTGAAGGACCAATCCTGTTAAACTGAGCCCGTTTTCAGCTGTGCCTTTATTCGCCTCAATTCATGAAAATGTCATTAAAGTGACCACCCACTGATGTGGGGTGCAGGTCACCCTTGTTAGCATAGCATAGCACGTTTTCTGAAAATGCAGTAACGCCTTACAGGGAGCTTAACGCTCACACAGCAGTCACAACGATGTCTTATAACGGCATATACAATCTCAGCATACACAGTGTGCAAACAGCCGCGGACGCACGCATGCAGGGCCCTGTGCTGCTCTGGCCCAGGCCCGGGGCAGCCCGCTGCTCTCTGCCCCCACCGGTGGGGGAGCCACGCTGCTCCCGGGGGGAACAGGAAGCAGTGACCCCGTGCTCATGGACTCTGGGTCGGCTGACACACATCCCTGACCTGTGGACACGCACTCGGGGCGGCAGGGAGCTCACAATGGTGGGCGACCTAACTACGCTTTCAAACAGGACACCTTGAGCAGCAACAAAAAAGCAAAATAGAAGCCACAGATCACTTAGCTGTGAGCCAGGTGGGCAGGGGGCCCCTCAGTGCTTCATTCTGTAGTTTCTGCTAGTGACAAAAGAAAAAAATTTTTGCACCAATTGTTAATTTACCAGAGCAGGCCTGGGTTGAGTTCGTGGAGAAAAACCCCAGGCAGAAGCGAATCCACCGTCTTTGGGCACCACGGAGGCCTGGGGTTAGGGTATTGCTGCTGGGAGGCGCCAGAGCTGCCCGCCCCTGCACCTCCACGGGCCCTGTGTCGTGCCCACGTGGGGGCAAACGTGGCTTTGGGGCTTGTGCTTGACACCTAACGCTGAGGGGGCTTCCCCTCGGACAAGGCAGCAGGCTCCGCGACCCCAAGAAGACGCAGCTCCGCAGGCCTGGAAGTCACTGTGGAGGGAAGGGCATTCAAACCACTGACGGCCTATTTTATTGGCAACTTAGAATGCAAGGTGTTTTATTTTTAAACTCCTGAAATTTGAAAACAAGATAGCCTAGATTAAATAATAGTTTCCCATAGCTGAATGTACGTGGTTGGAGCTGTTTTGACATACAAAAACAACTGGCGAGCACGCCTAGGCGGACTCTGCTGCTTGCCGACGTGGGGCCAGCTGGACAGCCCTCCTTCCGCCCCGGGAGCTGCGCCGCGCAGGCTCACGCCGACGCCTGCCTTCCGAACGTCTCCTGGGAGGCGTAGACCATGTACAGGAAGCCGTCCTCGTCGCGCTCACTCTCGTACACCTCCGAGATGGGTGTGGACACGCTCACCATGCTGTGCCCGTTCACCAGGAGGAAGAAGGCCTGGTTGGCATTGAGCTGTAACCGCCTCCTGTTGAAACAGCGTGCAGTGCGTCAGCCCGCAGGCCCGGTCACCAGGAGAGAGTCAGTGACGATGCTTCCCGCCTGGGACTCCCTTGAAATCAGTCTCAAGACCTCTTGGGGGGGGGGGTCTGGCGCGGTGGCCTAGTGGCTTAAGCCCTCGCCTTGCATCCACTGGGATCCCCTATGGGCGCTGGTTCATATCCCAGCTGTTCCATTTCCCTTCCAGCTCCATGCCTGGGGCCTGAGTAAGCAGTAAAGGACAGCACAGAGCCCTGGGACCTGCATAAGCTCCAGGTCTTAGATCAACTCAGCTCTGGCCACTGTGGCCACTCAGGGAGTGAACCAGCAGATGGAAGATCTTTCTGTCTCTCCTTCTCACTGTAAATCTGCCTTTCCAATAAAAATAAATCTTAAAAAACAGGCTCTTAGGGTCTCACGTGAGAAACAGATGCAAACATGACAGAGGAGGCACGAGCCGGGCCTCCACTCACTGCCGCTGCCCAGTGGGGTATGTATGCCCGCTGGCCAAGGCTGCTGGGCACAGCTAAGAATGCCCAGCTGCTGCTGGAGAAACACCACCTGTACCCGAGCCGCAGCACGCGACAGTCTCAGACCCGGCCCTCAGCCAGGCTGACACGGGGACGCAGCACGCGACAGTCTCAGACCCGGCCCTCAGCCAGGCTGACACGGGGACGCGGGGCGCAGCACGCGACAGTCTCAGACCCGGCCCTCAGCCAGGCTGACACGGGGACGCAGCACGCGACAGTCTCAGACCCGGCCCTCAGCCAGGCTGACACGGGGACGCAGCACGCGACAGTCTCAGACCCGGCCCTCAGCCAGGCTGACACGGGGACGCGGGGCGCAGCACGCGACAGTCTCAGACCCGGCCCTCAGCCAGGCTGACACGGGGACGCAGCACGCGACAGTCTCAGACCCGGCCCTCAGCCAGGCTGACACGGGGACGCAGCACGCGACAGTCTCAGACCCGGCCCTCAGCCAGACTGACACGGGGACGCGGGGCGCTGGGTACCTGATGATCTTGATGAGTTCACTCATGTTCACGTGATCAGGGACGAGGAATTTGGTTTTATCCAGGACAGGAAGCTGCTTCTCCCCCTTGTACCGTTCTATTATCACCTGTGAGACGCCAGAAGGAGTGTTACAAAGGGACCGGCACCTGGCAGCACGGCAGAGCGGCCTCCAGCTCACACCGCTGCCTCTTACAAAAGGACAGAGCCATGTGGCCCTTTGTTCTATTTGAATCTGAAACCAAGAAATACACACTAGTCATCCTAAGACTTGGATGCCAAAGCCAACAGGGCCTACAGAGCGGCAGGCATCTCTGGGGAGTGTGGCCTGCCCCGGATGCCACGGGGACCTGCAGATCCCATGGGATTCCAGTGAGCCGGCCCAGATGGCTAGGTGCACCTGGCACCCAGCCTGGGACTTCTGAGGTTCCCTGAAGCTTTTTCCCCAGACCCCCTGCCCCAGAAAGCCTGTGGGAGGGCCACCTCTCCATCCCTGCAGCTTCCCCTCCTGCCTTCCGACGTCGGCCAGGCCACAGTGACTAAAGTTCAAATCTGGAGTTACTGCATTCTGCCTTCTGTCTAGCCCCCCTGTTCCATTCTCTCTAAATAATTAAATTTGAGTTAAGTGTATAAAACTAAGGGTAGCAAAATCAGACTTCAGCTGAAGGACCCGAGGAACAATACTTAGGACACATCCATCCGGCACGACAGGGACACGGCGCACCGACAGCAGGTGGCGACCGCAGAGCCCCACGGGGACTGGGAAACCTACCGGGATCTTGGTCGGGTGTTGCTCTCGGATGAGCCTGACATCCTCCACTCTCTGCTCTGCAAGGAGAGTAGCAGACACGACGTCAGGCACTCTGCACGTCCACACGCCAGGGCGAGCTCGGCCGCGACAAGGCCCACGCCCAAACAACGCTGACACGGAAGGTCACAAGCAACAGATAACCTGGCACTACCGGCTGTGTGACAAGACCAAGAATAACCAGCACCTGCCCCCATGCATTTATTTGAAAGACAGATTCTACAGGGAGGGGAGACAGGTCTTCCATCTGCTGGCTCACTCCCCAAAGGCTGCAAGGGCTGGAGCAGAGCTGAGCCGAAACCAGGAGCCAACAATTTTCTCTTTTATTTTTCATGTTTGTATATTATTTTCATTAGAAAGGCAGATTCACAGGAGAGACAGGTTCACGCCCCACGTGGCCGCCACAGCCGCAGCTGGCCGCTCCGAAGGACTGCATTCATCCAGACGCGAGTTCAGCATCTGCCTGCCCCACTTGCAACGCAGCTCTCTGCTAGCGCAGCTAGGAAGCTAACAAAGTGGCCCCGGTCCTCGGGCCTGGACCCAAGTGGCAGACCCACCGCTTCCCGCCTTCAGCCTGCAGCTCTGGCTCCTCACCTCGGCCATCTGGGAGGGAACCAGCAGATGCAAGAGCTGTTTCTGGGCCTGGCACAATAGCCTAGCAGCTACAGTCCTTGCCTTGAACGTGCCAGGATCCCATATGGGCGCTGGTTCTAATCCTGGCAGCCCCGCTTCCCATCCAGTTGCCTGCCTGTGGCCTGGGAAAGCAGTGGAGGACGGCCCAAAGCCTTGGGATCCTGCACCCGTGTGGGAGACCTGGAAGAGGCTCCTGGCTCCTGGCTTAGGATTAGCTCAACTCCAGCCACTGCAGCTACTTGGGGAGTGAACCATCCGACGGAAGATCTTTCTGTCTCTCCTCCTCTCTGTATATCTGTCTTTCCAATAAAAATGAGCTGAGCCCATCAGGAGCCAGGAGGCTCTTCCAGGTCTCCCACATGCTGATGCAGGGTCCCAAGGCATTGGGCCGTTCTCCACTGCTTTCCCAGGCCACAGGCAGGGAGCCGGGTGGCACTCCTGGCTTCTTGCTTCATCCGGCCATTGTGGCCAATGTAGGAGCCAAGGGACGGAATGTCCACCTCTGGCAGCCGCCCTTTCACACGCACAGAGACCAGCACAGTGGCTCAGCTGGATAATCCTCTGCCTGTAGTGCCAGGACCAGCCAGCCCGCTTCCCATCCAGCTCCCTGCCTGTGGCCTGGGAAAGCAGTGGAGGACTGCCCAAAGCCTTGGGACCCTGCACCGTGTGGGAGACCCAGAAGAGGCTCCTGGCTCCAGATGGGCTCAGCTCGAAAGGATCTGTCCCTCCTCTCTGTAAACCTACCTGCCTTTCCAGTAATAAACAAAAACAAAGAATCTGCTGCTCCTCCCTCTAAGCTGCCCAAGGCGTTGTTTCAGCACTTGGAAAGCTGCTCTGAGATATCCTAGCACATTTACAGTCAAATTTCAGGGCCCAGGGCAGTAGGCTGGGGGATGATCCCTGCCTGGCACACTCCCTGATCCCATATGGGCACAGGTTCTAATCCCGGCAGCTCCACTTCCCATCCAGCTCCCTGCCTGTGGCCTGGGAAAGCAGTCGAGGACGGCCCAGAGCCTTGGGACCCTGCACCCGCGTGGGAGACCTGGGAGAGCTCCTGGCTTTGAATCGGCTCAGCTCCAGCTGTTGCGGTTGCTTGGGGAGTGAATCATCGGACGGAAGATCTTCCTCTCTGTCTCTCCTCCTCTCTGTATGTCTGATTTTCCAATAAAAATAAGTGTTTTTTAAAAAGTGTATCTCACGGAGAAGCGTTAAGGCTCTCGCAGTCTCAAGTGCAGGCTGTGCCAGCCGGCGAGGGCAGCAGAGGGCCTGGCTGCTGGGCCCCGTGGGTCCGGCCTACCAGCACAGGGACAAACTGCAGAAGCGCTTCAGGCCCAAGTTTACCACCGTAGCAGGACTACATTTGCAAAGACTGATTATAAACAAAACTGCTTGGCTTTGAAACTCCTGGGCTTATCAAGAACTCCAAGCACGCAGCGGTTTCTGAGTCAGGGTGCTGGCACCAAGTCACCTTCCCAGGTGCCACCTACCAGCCCTGCTCCCCACCCAGATGTTTGGGGTGCGCCCTGCGGCGTTCCTGGACCCAGGAGAGCCCCGGGCAGGACCACGCGGCCTGCTCAGGGAGCTGCCCTCGCTTATTTCCTCAGAACGATCTAAAAATAAACAACCCGCAAACAAGTGCGGCTCGCGTGCTGCTGGAAGGGGCCCGTCTCCCACGCACACGGGCGCCGCGGGCCCGGCGTGGGGCGCGCCAAGTCCCGCGCCGAGTCGCCCCGTCCCCGGGCGCCCGTCCCCCGCAGGCCGCCGCCCCGCGCCCTCGGACCCCGGCCTCGGCCCTGCGGCCTCCCCCGCCCCGGACGCGCCTCCGGCCCCGCCGCCGACACCCACCGAACGAGCGGCGCTGCTTGAAGGTCTTCTCGGACGGCATGGCGCGGGGAGCTGCGCGCAGGGGTCGCGGCTCCGGCTCGGCGTCTTCCCTTGTGTCTCCTCAGCCCGCAGCCCGGTCAGGTGACCCGCGCGGCGTCACCGGGCGGGCGGGGCCGGCCGAGGGCGGGCGCCATGGCGGGCGTGGCGGAAGCCGCGGGCTGACGGGGCGGCGGGGCGCGTGGGGGGCGTGGGGGGCGCCGTCCTTCTCCCTCTCCTTCCGAGGGGCGTTGTGGGGCGCCGTCCCCGGTGTGGGGGCGTCCTGGGGCGCAGTCCTGCTCCCTCTCCCTCCCCGGGGTATTGTGGGGGCGCCCTCCCCGGGCGTGGGGCGCCGACCCCGGGTGGGGGTGCTCTCCCCGGGTGGGGGGCGTCCTGCCCCCTCCGAGGGGGCGTATGGGGGGCCGCACAGGAGCCCCAGGTGCCCGCTTCTCTCTTTGTTACACGCTGTTGGCTTTGGTCACGAGCAGACGCACGGGCAAAGGAGCCCATGGTCCAGCTGGGCCTGGGGCTGCTGGCCGCCCACCCGCTGGGGAGACATGGCCCCGGCCACCAGGAGGAGGCTGTTTGCACTTCGGTTTCTGTTTTCTCCCCAACACCGAGTTCTGGCCTCTGCACAGCCCTGCCGGGTTCTAGAGCAGACAAGCGGCGGCCACGGGCTGGGGGACCCGGCGGCGGGCTGGGCACCCCGGCCTCCCTCCTGCCCTGGCCGGCGCGGCTGCCCCAGGCTCCAGGCTTCTCCCAGGCCGACGGGCACCTGGACACCTGCAGGTCCTCCTGAGCCGACAGGGCAAGGGGCGCCGGGCCGGGACAGGCGCGGGGCGGGCTTTCCTCGCATGACAACACTGTTCTCTGAAATAATCCTTGGAGATCGAACCGTGGGTCCTTCTTTGGATTCAGAGTCTGCTCTAGGGGATTTCATGGCGCGTTTAGACTGCCAGGCGTCCGTCCCAGGAAGCCAGGCAGTGCTGGGGTTGTCATTCTCACTCCAGTCCGTATTTCCATGGCAGGAACGGACCGTGACGGTGGGGGAGGCTGACTGCGATGTCGGGGATGTAGCTGTCAGCCACACTGGGCCTGCGCAAAAGGAAAACACACACAAACAAAAATAAAAACAAGCCTGCCACACTCAACATGGAGGGCGAGGTAGTCGGCGGTCGGCGCTGAGTCTCGGGTATGCCGCCTTCGTCCCGCCTCCGCGCTTTCCCATTGGAAGACGCCCTCCTGCGGCTGGGCCTTCTGGGCCGCTATTGGCCAGAGGCGCCATCCGTCCTGACGTCACCGCCGTCCTGGGGGACAAGTAAACAAACAGGTGTCGCTGGGGCGCCGCTGTGAGCGCGGCCGGAGTCGGGGGCCCGACGCTGCTGCCCGGGGCGCCCTGGGGGGACGGGCTGCGCCGGGGGGTCTGTGCCGTGTGCCGTGCGGGGGCCTCGCCTGTGTCCTCCCCACGTGGCCGCCCTGGCCGGCCTGCACCGGGACACCCGGACACACCCGTGCGCCCCTGGCTACAGGAACGGCAGCGTTGTCCGCAAGCGTGCGTGCATGGCGCGGCCGCACGATCCCAGCTCTGCCCACCAATGGCGCTGGGGACGTCGTCCGGCTGTGCTGCCCCGTGCCGCGAGCCCGAGGCTCGGCCGGAGACAAAGGCGCCCGTGCCAGCGCTGCAGCACAGAAAGACTGGAGTGTGCTGGTGGCGAGGAGGAGCCCCGGCACCCACGGACACACAGAAAGCTTGCTGGGGGGGAGGATGGCGTGCAAGCCTAGCTTATGCCCACCCTGACGCTCCAGGGAGCGGTGGGGTGTCCGTGTGTGGGGGTGCTGCGGGGGCCTGCCGGGAGCACCCCGCAGTGCAGGGCGTTTGGGGTTCTCTCGGACGCCGTGGGGGCGCGCAGTTGTGCACGGCCGCGAGCTGGAGGGTCGGTCCCTCCGGGGTGCGCGCCCGAGGACGCTGTCCCGCACCACGCCGGGGATGTGGGGTGGCCCGGAGGAGGCGCCCGCATTCTGCAAAGGGACGCACGGCGGCCAAACTACCAGGAAGCCTCGTTAGCGCAGTAGGTAGCGCGTCAGTCTCATAATCTGAAGGTCGTGAGTTCGATCCTCACACGGGGCAACCGCACTGTTTTGTTCCTGGAGATCGCATCTGTCTTCAGTGTGCTGTCTAGTGTCCCGCGCAGGCGCGGGCCTGATGACAACGCTGACCACCTTGGACAACTGCAGGACCGCAGAGTGCCCGCCGGCCATTTATAGGAAGGGGCGTGGCTCGCGCGCTGGTCTTTCCGCTTCGTGGGCGTGGCCGGCGCGTGGCTCCTCCCCCACGACCACGGGCGTCTCCTGAGCTCGGCCCCTCCCCCTTTGTGGGCGTGACCCGGGCTCGGCCCTCCCCTCTCGTGCGTGTGCGGCGCGCGCTCTTCCCCTGGTGGCCAGTCCCTCCCCTGTGGGCGTGGCCCCGGCTGCCCCTCCCCTCGTGGGCGGAGCCCTTCCTGCCTGGGCGGAGCGTGCCGCGCGTGCGCACAGGCGCGCCGGGCCGTGGTGGCGGCATGGCGGTGTGCGCTCGGCTGTGCGGCGTGGGCCCGTCGCGCGGGTGCCGGCGGCGTCAGCAGCGCCGAGGCCCGGCCGAGACGGCGGCGGCCGACAGCGAGCCGGACACGGACCCCGAGGAGGAGCGCATCGAGGCCCCGCCGGCGCCGCGCTGCTCGCTGCTGGAGCTGCCGCCCGAGCTGCTGGTGGAGATCTTCGCCTCGCTGCCCGGCACCGACCTGCCCAGCCTGGCCCAGGTCTGCACCAAGTTCCGCCGCATCCTGCACACCGACACCATCTGGAGACGGCGCTGCCGCGAGGGTGAGCCAGCGGGGCCGCGCAGCGCGGGCGAGGTCGGGCAGGCCGGGTGTGCGGGCCGAGGGCAGCGCTGGGCAGAGCGCTGTGACGCCTGAGATCCATGCGCCGGGCCGCCGGGCCGGGGGACGGACCTGTGTCCTGCGTGCTGTCCGCCGTGCCCCCCACAAGCCCCTTGGCCCGTCAGCAGGTGTGTCCTGTGTCCTGAGGCCCTCCCCGGCCCGTCCCTGCCCTCCAGAAGCAGCGCTGACCTGGTGGCTCTCAGGGTAGGCCTCCCTCTGTGTGTGTCTGGGAGTCATGCACGTTAGCACATCTAGTTTGGCCTTTGAATTGTCGTGGTGGTTCATACACAGCTTCATGGTCTCCTGGTGCATATTTGAAAATTCCGCTGTGGCGCCAGCATTGTGGCACAGTGGGTTAAGCTGCTGCTGTGGTGCTGGCATCCCACTTCCTGGCCCAGGTGCGGGCACCTGCCACTCAGTGCAAGCTCAGATTCTAAAACTAGATTCACTCATTTTCATTGGAAAGGCAGATTTTCAGAGAGAAGGTGACACAGGGTGACACTAATTGACTCCCGAAATGGCCGAAACAGCTGCTGGAGCTGAGCCGATCCGGAGCCAGGAGCCAGGAGCCTCTTCCAGGTCTCCCACACGGGTGCAGGGTCCCAAGGCTTTGGGCCGTCCTCCACTGCTTTCCCAGGCCACAGGTAGGGGCTGCAGGGAAGTAGAGCAGCCGGGTTCCAACTGGTGCCCCTGTGGGACTGAGGCCCAGTGTGCTATGCCAGGGCACCGGCCCCACAAATAAATAATTATGATGGAAGAAAATTCCACTGTGTGCAGCAGTGGTGTTGTCGGGCAGCAGCCGTGAGCTGTGGGTGCGCTGGACGCCGCCTGCCGTTCTGCAGCATGCCGCCCCTTGGCCGGCGGCCTTCCCCGTGGGCAGTGGCCGGCCAGCGTGGGTGGAGGGCCTTTGGGTGTCGTGGGTGAGGAAGTGCGGCTAAGATTGAGGTTACTGGGCTTCTGGTTTCCTTTATTGCCTTATCGTTAACCTTGTGCCTCTCGCTTTCCGTGTCTGTGTGTTTTTAACAGTCTGGCTGCGTTGCTTTTACCGTGCTGTGAAGCCTTTTGAACTTCATTTGTCGTGGGTTACAGCTTTGTGCCCAGGGTGTGAGCGGGCTCGCGGCCGGGGTCCGGAGGAAGGCGGGCCCTGGTGTGCTGCCCGGCTGCGTGGCGCTCACGCAGGGCCATGCTGCTTCCCGGGCTGGTCGCCAGCCCCGAGCCCGCACCGCTTCTGGTGTTCATGGGGACACAGCGGGTCCGAAGCGAGGCGGGTCCTGGTGTGTAGACTCTGGGAGCAGCCTCGGCCCGCAGGAACAGGGAAGCAGAACTTGTGTGTTTTGCACCTCGTGTTTATGTGTTTTCTGTCTACTTAATCTTTGCACTTTCCAGAACAAAAAATGGACCATGGAAATGGGAGGTGGGTGGGGGGGTGGATGGCGCTGCAGCACAGCGGGTTAAGCCTCGGTTTGGGTTGCCAACGTCCCATGGGGAGCACTGGCTCCGGTCCCGGTCTTTTTGCTTCTGACCCAGCCCCCACTAGCGTGTCTGGGAGGCGGCTGGGCGTGGGTCAAGGCCTTGGGCCCCTGCTGGCGGGGGGCTGCGGGCCCCGCCCTGGCTGCTGCAGCGTGTTGGGGTGGACCAGTGGGTGGCCAGCTGTTCTTGCTCTGTCAGGTACATCTGTGGTTCTGTTCTGTTCTAAGATTTATTCATATTTGTTGGAGACTGCCATATCCAGATGTGAGGACACAATGCAACATGCAGCCCTGCTTCCAGACAAAAGACGGGAAAGTGCTGGCGTGTCTGGCAGTGGGCTGCGGGACTGTCCCACACTGCCCGGCCCACTTCAACAGCACGCTGACGGCGTTGTAACTCCTCGTGAGGCGTGTGCTGCTGGGACGGTATGGGCAGTCAGTCGGCGGTGGGAATTGGGGGAGGGAATCCCAGACCATGCAGAATTGTACCATTAACTCAAAATTTAAAATAAAAATTAAAAAAGATTTATTTATTTTTACTGAAAGTCAGATTTATAGAGAAGGGACAGAAAGATCTTCCATCCACTGCTTCACTCCCCAGGTGGCTGCAACAGCTGGAGCTCAGCTGATCCAAAGCCAGCTTCCTCCAGGTCTCCCACACGGGTGCAGGGTCCCAAGGCTCTAGGCCGTCTTCGACTGCTTTCCCAGGCCACAGGCAGGGGGCTGGATGGGACGTGGAGCAGCTGGGATGCAAACCAGAGCCCGTATGGGATCCTGGTGCATGCAAGGGGAGGGCTTGAGCCACGAAGCTGTCGCGTTGGGCCCCTTTTAAAACAGGAGTGGGAATGCTGCTGAGCATTCGGGTCCTGACGGCCTGGGGCAGACAGGACACAGTGACAGGGCCCAACCGGAGAGTTCTCTCCGATGACAGGCTGCTGGGCCACGTACACTGGGGACTCAGGGTCAGCTTTGTGACGGCTGGTGAGGAGCTCAGAACTTCCGGTGGCCCACCTGTACCTGGCCCTACCAGCCCCCAGCGGCCCAGTGCTGCTGCTACGAGGAGGTGGCGTGGTCTGTGTCACGGGACGCGGAGGGCGCCAGTGCTGTCCTGCGTTGCTGCCTTGGCCGCAGGCCTCTGCCATTGCTTGTTTGCGTGAGGTTATAAATAAGTCAGTTCCTGCGTGAGGGGGTGTCTCTGCCCTCACGGCTTCTGCCTCAGCGCCTCCCTGTTGTGCTCCGAGTGTCAGAGTCCGTGCTGGTCCTGCGGGATGTTTGAATTCATGGACAGGGAGCAGGTGGACTTCAGCCAGCTGTGTGTCCTTGGGTTGCCTCCCCTGGCACCACCCTGCCGAGCATGAGTCAGCATTTCCCTGCCCGTGACCCCGCAGCCCGGGTCCCCACCGCCCGGGACCCCTGCCGCCTGGGACCCCCGTCGCCCGGACCCCGCCGCCCGGGACCCCTCTGCGCGGGACCCCCTCTGCCCGGGACCCCCGCCGCCCGGGACCCCCGTCGTCCGGGACCCCCGTCGTCCGGGACCCCCGCCGCCCGGGACCCCTCTGCCCGAGACCCTCGTCGCCCGGACCCCGCCGCCCGGGACCTCCTCCGCCCGGGACCCCCGCCGCCCGGACCCCGCCGCCCGGGACCTCTTCCGCCCGGGACCCCCTCTGCCCGGGACCCCCATCGCCCGGGACCTCCACCGCCCGGACCCCGCCGCCCGGGACCCCACTGACATTTGCATACTCTCAGTTGCAGGTGCAAAGGTGCTCCTTCAGAGTGAGGTGTGCCTCTCCTGTGACACCGGTTCTTGTGACGAAAATGGCAAATTGGAGACCAGTGTTTAGTTTTGTTTTTCTGTGTGTAAGACGTGTTGTTTCGGTTCTTGCCGGTGTGCTGGGGGCCACAGGAGACCATGGCTGACATGGGCAAGGGGAGGAGGGAGGCTGGCAGGGTGTGGATTTTCAAGTGACTTTGGGGGACTTCTGTGACTCCCTGGAGTCCCTGCTGGTGCCCGGGGGTGGCTGTGGTGCAGGTGGGTCTCGGGCACGGCCTCAGGAGCGTGGGCTGAGATCCAGCCGACTTGAAGAAACCCAGCTGGGAGCATGTCTGCCCTGTGGGCGCCGAAAGTGGTGGGCTTCTCTGCCGTGACCAGCTGGCCTGCTGGTGGCTGGCCAGGGACGTCTTGGCCGGTGCTGCTGCCAGGGTTTGTGCAGCGATTACGCAATGCAGGCAGGAAGGGTGTCCTGGGCTCAGGACCAGAGGGTGCGTCCTGCTGGAGGGCAAGGTGAGGACAAGAGGGGAGAATGTGTGAGCTGGGGAGTGCGCCCAGGGGCCCGGTGACCCCGCACCAGCTGGTCGTGGGAGTGTGCCCAGGGGCCCGGTGACCCCATACCAGCTGGTCGTGGGAGTGCGCCCAGGGGCCCGGTGACCCTGCACCAGCTGGTCATGGGAGTGCGCCCAGGGGCCGGGTGACCCCGCACCAGCTGGTCGTGGGAGTGTGCCCAGGGGCAGCTTAGGGCAGCCACACCTGACCTGCCACTGCTGTTGCACAGGTGAGAGGCAAGTGCCTGGGTCCCTAACACACGCACGGAACACCCAGCTGGAGGCCCGGGTTCCTGGATCCAGCTGTTGGGGTCACTGGGGAGTGTACTGTGAATCCAGGGCTCTCTCTGCCTTTCAGATACAAAGAGAGTTAAGGCGAAATTGCCAAGGAAGTGTGTTTGAACTAACAGCTTGTAGCATTACGCGTCACTTCAGAAGCAGGGGAGCCAGTGTGCCTCCCTGGCTTCGGCATCCGTTGTGGCAGTGCTGGTAGGAGTCAGCCGCCACGCTGCCCCCGCCCAGCAGCCTGTCTGCGTGCCTGGGAAGGCAGCAGGGCTGGTAAGCTTGAAAGCCAGAGAGCAGAGCTTGGGCTGAGATGGCATGGAAGCAGCGGGGAGGGTTGCCGGTCTGCTGGCCTGGGAGCTGTACGGGCAGCCTCCCTGGAGGACTTGAGGCAGGGCTCACACACAGAAGCAGCTGGAAAAGGCCTTAGCCACTGTCGGAACAAAGATGCTCCCACCGTGGGGAGGTGATTCTTTGAATAGGAGCAGGGTTGGTAATACTCTTTTAGGAACACTAGGAAAAACTCACCAAGGATTTCTGCATTAACACTACATGATGATTTTTCTTTTCTTCTGATTTTTAAGAAGAAAATATCGCTTTCATCTTCGTGAAAGGCAGAGAGCGAGGGTACATTGTCTGCGGTGGCTGCTCCCCACGCGCCTGTGGCCAAGGCTGGGAGGGGCCGGCAGCCTGGGCTGTCCCCGCGGCTCCTGTGGGGTTGTAGGAACCTGGTTGTTGGGGCCATCGTCTGTGTGTGGGTGTGTTAGCAGGCAGCTAGCAGAATCCTCAGCACTGGAACCGGGTACCCCAAGTGGCAGCTTACACTGGCCCACGGTGCCCTCTCCAGCCTAGACTGGTGTGTCACCAGCAGCACACATGACAAGGCCACCGGTGGACACTGCATGGTCAGCCTTGCTCAAACTTGGGCATCGCTCGGAATCCCAAGCAGTTAAGAGAGGCTGCCTCCGTGCTGAACGAAGGACGTTAGCACTCCGAGACCAGTCATCGCCCACCCGCGACATGGTGCCTGGCACCGGGCTGGCCCCGAGGCAGACATGGGTATGCTGTGGGGCCCATGCCCTCCTCCCTGCCCCGTCGCAGGCAGCATTCACATGTGTTCTGAGAGCCACGGGAGCATGCAGGATCAGGGCTGTGCGGGCGTTGAGGCCCGCACTGGTCGGCTGCGGGAGCCCCGCCATGTTGCCTGCTGAGGCCCCGGCTCCCCTGCAGGAACACTGCCATCATTGGTGCGAGGGAGGACAGAGAGTGGACAAAGCAGGGAGGGCTGTGTCCTCGTGCAGCCCAGCTCTGCTCAGCTGGGACACAGTGGCCGGGGTGGCGTGCCAGTCATGTGCTGGTCCTGCTACTCGGCGCTCGGTGGCTGTGTCCACCCGGAGCTGCCAGCACTTACACCAGCGTCTTTGTACAGCTTTACCGAGTGTCAGCTGGGAGGAACTTGTGCTTGCTGGGATACTCCCATGGCCGCGGTGTGGGCAGCGTGGGCGTAGATGGGTGGGCGTGGCCTGTTGGAGGTGCCTGCTGGCCTAGTAACATGGCAGGTTCTAATGGGAGGGTGGTCCTGGACCCTGCACCCCTGACAGGCTCTTGGGTACCTTTGGCCATCATGTAGGTAGCAGGGGCCTCGGGTGGCAGGCTCGGCGTTCCCCTGTCGATGTGCGTTGTGGTCATTCCTGTGTTGCAGTTAAGGCATTGCAGACACCATGGAGCATGGGCGCCGGTTCTAATCCCGGCAGCTCCACTTCCCATCCAGCTCCCTGCTTGTGGCCTGGGAAAGCAGTGGCGGACGGCCCAAAGCCTTGGGACCCTGCACCCGTGTGGGAGACCTGGAAGAGCACCTGGTTCTGGGCCACCTGGTGGGGCGGTGTGGGCGAGCACACCCAGAACTGGGGTTTCCTCCGGATTCTCTTAGGAGTGTGTGATTTTAGAAGATTTATATGTAACTTGGTGGTTAAGAGAATTGCGTCTGGAATGAGCCATGAGCAGTGAAGCGCAAAGGGATGCACTGTCTTGTCAGGGTCTGCAGGGTCTACAGGGTCTGTGGGGTCTACAGGGTTTATGGGGTCTGCAAGTTCTGTGGGGTCTTGTCAGGGTTTGTGGGGTGTGTGCCATCCATAGCAGCAGCCCCGGCCAAGTGGGGATTGAATGTTGTCTGTAAATGGGCACTTGGGCACTCACTGGATTCTGTTGGGCAGCTCCAGGCCCGAGCACACGGCAGGATCCACTGGGGCTGGTCTGTGTGGGAAGGCTTGGGTAACGGTGCAGCTGTGGTTCCCTGCTGGCACTGCTCAGTGGGGAGCCCTCCCGGAGCTTGCTGAGCTGAGGGCATTCATACCAGGGGACTGCAGGCCACGTTGACAGCAGCTTGGGGTTGTGCTCGGCTGCCCACATGGTCCCAGGCTCTCCGGGGCCTTGCGTTCAGCCTGCAGGCCGGGCAGTGCTGTGAGCGGTTGGCGCCCAGTGAGGGGCCTGGTTGGTACCAGCAGTGATGGGGCTGGTTCCATCTGCAACTGACCGACCCCGAGGACACGGGTGTGTGGGGTATGTGGGCTGGTGGTCGGTGGGAGAGGGGCCAGGGAGGAGTAAGCTGGTGGGGCTGTGAGGAAGGGATGGCAGGATGGTGCATGGGGTCCCCCTCACAGCCGTGGGGCTCCCTCGCATTCGTGAGCCTTCTGCCCTCAGCGGCTGCAGGCTGCGGCCGGTGGTCGGCGGCCGGGTTGAACAGAGCAGGTAACCAGCGGCTCTGGAGTTGGACTAGCCCTCCGTGGCCTCGGGGGTGAGGAGATCTTTCCGCAGGGAAGGGAGTTTGGGCAGCACCTCGTTCTAGGGCTGGGGCTGGCTGACAAGTGGCTGATATGTCCCCCAAGATGCCGCTGAGCCAGTGGATGGTGGCTTTGTTGCTACCCAGGGCCGGGCTGTGCACCTGCCCGTCTCCATGCAGCGGGAGGCTCTGCCGCCCTTCACAGCGTGTCTCCGTCGCTGCCTGCTGCTCTCCCTCTGACATGTGGGCGGCTGTTTCTCGTTGCAGAGTACGGCGTCTGTGAGAACTTGAGGAAGCTGGAGATCACGGGCGTGTCTTGTCGGGATGTCTACGCAAAGCGTGAGTTGGCCTGTTTCTGTCCGTGGTTCTGCCGGGAGGGGCAGCTGGGAGGGTGGGAGCGGCGGGCCGTCCTGCAGTGCTTGGAGGAGCTGGCGGGAGGAGCACTGATGCTAGTCCGGCAGGCACCCTGCTGCGGTGGCCAGGGGCAGGGCCTGGGGGCGCGAAGCCGTGGGCTCTGACGGGGTCCCACAGCCCTGGCATTTGCTTGGTTTCTGGGGGGGGTCACTCCTCAGTCCAGGAGCAGGCCCCACCCCCCGCCCGTGAGACTGCGGCTGCTGAGGCGGTGGCCCCCAGGTTTCTGCGGCTGTGATGACCGTGGGTGTCCACGCTGGCCGCCAGGGTACTCAAGGGGCTGTCTGGCCCACGTCGCCCCAGAGCCATGCTGAGAGCCCAGCAGTCATGTCTGGCAGACAGGGCCACCCTCGTCTGTGGGTGTGGGGCACTCTGGGTACGCTTGGGCAGCCGGCTGCGGGGAGGCGTGGCGGAGAGGGCGGCGTGGCGGAGAGGGCTGGCGGCCGTCTGCAGATCACGCAGTGCTATGACGCAGTGCTGGTAACTTTAATGTTAGTAAGATGTGTACCTGAGAGGTGGGGGTCTGCTCCCCAAATGGCCCACGCCAAAGCCAGGCAGAATGCCCTCCCCCGGGGCTGGCAGGGCAAACCCAGGCAGCCAGCTCTGGACCTCCCCTGCGTCAGCTGGAAGTGAGACCAGGGGGACAGCACCCCAGGGTGCTCAACTGGCTGGGCCAGCACACCTCCCTCAGGTTTTCTTTTTAAATTTCCTTCCTTTCTTTCTTTTTTAAGACTTATTTATTTTTATTGGGAAGTCAGATATACAGAGAAGAGGAGAGACAGAGAGGAAGATATTCCACCTGCTGGTTCACTCCCCAAGTGGCCACAGCGGCTGGAGCTGAGCTGATCTGAAGCCAGGAGCCAGGAATTTCTTTCTGGTCTCCAACGCAGATCAGGTCCCAAGGCTTTGGGTCGTCCTCCGCTGCTTTCTCAGGCCACAAGCAGGGAGCTGGATGGGAAATGGGGCCACTGGGATTAGAACCGGAGCCCACATGGGATCCTGGCACGTGCAAGGCAAGGACTTTAGCCACTAGGCTCCCATGTTGGGCCCTATTTTCCTTTGTTTTAGGGGATGTATTTATTTATTTCAAAGGCAGAGTTAGGAAGGAAGAGAGAGAGAGATTTGTATTCGCGGGTTCATTCTCCCAATGGCTGCAGTGGCCAGGCCTGGGCCAGATGTTGCCAGGAGCTCCATCTGGCCTCCCGCGGGCGTGGCACGGCCCAGTCGGCCACTTTCGGTTGCTGCCCTGGGTGCGTTAGCAGAGTGCTGCAGCCAGGACTTGAGCCGATGGAGGGGTGCCGGCGCTGCCGGGGCGGCCTCCCCGCTTCGCCCAGTGCCAGCGCTGGTTTGCATTTTCATGGTGCATGTCTTTGTCAATTTGCCCTGAAAGCCTCAATGGGGAGAAGACCACTAAAGTTGGGGACAGGTGGGTCGGAGAACAGCTGCCTGTCGCTGGAGGAGGGGGCTTAGCTGTCCACTGACTCAGCAGTGACCACGTGGGACTCAGGAGCCTAGGACATGAAGAAGCAACCCCACAGCTCACAGACAAGGGCAGTGGCCGGCTTGGCTGGGCGAGGTTTTGCTGGGACCCTGTCGGCACATGACCCCTGTGGGGGGGTTGCAGCCTGAGGGGAGGGTGAGCAAGGCAGGGGTCCCCCAGCCTGGGCCATCGTGTATATGTGGCAGCCGTCGCTGAGCGGGAAAGGTGCCGTAGGATGTCCTTAGTGGCTCAGTTTGCCAGCCTGGGCCAGAGCTGTGCTCCCTGGGTGCTGGGTGGCGCGAGTGCCCGGGGAGTGTGTCGTGTTGGTGAGGCAGAGGGTGCTGGGTCATGAAACGTGGAGCCATCCTGTCCTCTCCCTGCTGTGTCTGTTCAGGTATAAACCCGCGTGTGAAGTCGGGACGTTTTATGAAACTCCTTCCCGATTACGAGCACATGGAGTACAGAGATGTGTACACCTGCCGTACGTATGCCCCCGGCTTGCGCCTGCGCCCTGGGAGCCAAGCCGGCCGCCGCGTGGGAAGGGGTCCCTTCGCCCTGCTGCTTACGCCTGAGCGGGCTGGCCTCTGTGTGTGCCTGTCTGAGGGTCGTGCCCGTGGAGGAAGCAGCTGAGGGCAGTCTCCCGCTGACATGCCGTGGCCCCCACTGCCAGCTGCGTCACCCTCTGCAGTCACAGGTCCCGTGGTCACAGCGGACGAGCCCTGTCTGGAAGCCTAGGCAGGCCGGAGCTGAGGGGACAGGTGACGCGGCCCCTCAGGGAGCTGTAGTGTTGGTTTGCAATGCGTGCCTGTTGCTGCAGCCTTAGCGCTGCCCCCGTCTGCCCAGGGTCTGCTCAGCCCTGCTGAGCGGGCAGCCCTGGGGTGCTGTAGTGTTCTGTGGTCTGTGCAGGTCGCCCCTGCTGACAGCCCCACGAGGATCGGAGGTCTGGCTTTTTGTGGATGCTTTGGGCGGCACTGTGTTGGAGTGCAGCCTGGTGGCAGGGGCCTGTGTGAGGAGGGGCTGGTGACGCCCACAGGCAGGAAGGCCTCTGCCAGCTTCCTGGCAGTCTGTGGCAGCTGGCTTGGCCACTTGTCCCTGCGCCTCGCCTGTGGGCATGGCTGACGGAAACCCATCTGGCGGGCCAGCACTTAGAGCTCCCCTCCCTCACCCAATGGGATTTTTCCGGAACAGCTGTCCACGTGGCGCCCACACTGTGGACTGGAGTGGACTGCCGCCAGCTGCTGGGCTGGGCTGGGCTGGCTGGGCTGGGCGGGTCCTGGCAGCTGAGGGCAGCCGCTGGTAGGGAAGGTTCTCCTTGTGCCCGAGACAGGTGGTGGGGAAGAGCCGTGTGCGGTCATCTGGCCGTGCCTCAGTCTTGTCTTGGGCCTTTTGAAAAACGTGAAGCTGTGTTTTTTTATATACATGTAGATTTACTATTTATTTTTATTGAAAAGGCAAATTTATGGAGAGTAGGAGAGACGAGGATCTCCCATCTGCGGGTTCACTCCCCGAGTGGCCAGGCTGGGTCAGGCTGAGGCCAGGTGCCTGGAAGTCCCCGGACCGTGTGCTGGGCCGGGGGCAGCGTGGGGGGGGAGCCCTGTCCTGGCCGGAGACAGTGTGTGGGGGGAGCCCTGTTGGCCGGGGGCAGCGTGGGGGAGAGCCCTGTCCTGGCCGGGGGCAGCGTGGGGAGAGCCCTGTCCTGGCCGGGGGCAGCGTGGGGGGAGCCCTGTCCTGGCCGGGGACAGTGCGTGGGGGGAGCCCTGTCCTGGCCGGGGGCAGCGTGGGGGGAGCCCTGTCCTGGCCGGGGACAGTGCGTGGGGGGAGCCCTGTCCTGGCCGGGGGCAGCGTGGGGGGAGCCCTGTCCTGGCCGGGGACAGTGCGTGGGGGGAGCCCTGTTGGCCGGGGGCTGGCTCTGGGCAGCCGTTCTCCGACCTCACCTCGGCTTACCTCTGTCTTGCCTGTATGTGGCTGCTCAGTGCTGTGCTGTGAGCGCCTCTGGGCACCTGGGCTGGTGGAGCAGTGTCCTGCAGGCCAGCATGGCTTCCCACGGCAGGGCCACAGTGCCCTGGGCGCCGGGGAGAGCCTGCCGAGCTCTAGGTTGCTCTGAGCAGTTTTCCTGTTTTGTTTTTCTGGTTTGTTTGTTTTAAGATTTATTTTTATAGGACAGTCAGATATACAAAGAGGAAGAGAGACAGAGAGGAAGATCTTTTATCGCCGATTCACTCCCCAAGTAGCCTCAACAGCTAGAGCTGCGCCAATCCAAAGCCAGGTACCAGGAGCCTCTTCTGGGTCTCCCACACGGGTGCAGCGTCCCAAGGCTTTGGGCCGTCCTCGACTGCTTTCCTAGGCCACAGGCAGGGAGCTGGATGGGAAGTGGGGCCGCTGGGATTAGAACTGGTTCCCAGCGTGTGCGAGGCGAGTTTAGCTGCTAGGCTATTATGCCGGGTCCTGTTTTTCACTTCAGATCTCTCTCTCTCTTTGTCTCTCGCTCTCTGTCTAAATAAATAGTCAATGATCACCTCCAAACCCAGGTGCATTGTTCTGCAGTGTTTTTCTCTGCTTGGGAAGGGTGTGCTGGGCTTAATGTTTTGAACTGTTTGTCACGTTCCTGCGTGGGGAACAGCACAATACCCCTTAGCCCAGGATGAACTGCTCAGTGGCCTGGGACACCCGTTTAACTCTCCCTGTGGCTCAGGGACCCCTGCAAGCCTGGTAGGGTGGGGACGCTCCCTGAGTGGGGGTCATTTTACAGCGAGCAGTATGGGAGTAAGCCCCGGCATGTGGACCCAGTCCGTCCACCTGCCCACGGGGTCCAGGACAGAGGGTGTTGCAGCCAGCACCCAGGCCTTGTCCTGATGGCCCTGCCCATCTGCTTGTCCAGAGAGCCTGGTCTGCATGCTGGATGCCCCACAGTACTGGCCCGGTCTGCTGCTCGGGCCCCCTGGCCGCCTGGAGCCGGCCCCAGCTCCCAGAGCGCTTAAAGGGCAGTTTCAGATTCAGTCAGGTAGGATCTCAGAGAGGCCTTGCTGTCCTGGGACATCTTCCCCGTCGGTGCTGTGGTAGAGGGTACCCTTGCTTGGGGACATGCACCTGCGCCGACAGGGCCTCCTCACGAGCGGTGAGTGGCTCAGGTCGGGGTTCATTCCCTGCGAGGGGCTGTGAGTGGGTCTGGACACGTGTGTGTGGTGACCCGTGTGTGATGACCCGTGTGTGATGACACGGTGTGATGACACATGTGTGATGACACGTGTGCAACGACACGATGCGATGACACGGGTGTGATGACGGTGCGATGACACGGGTGTGATGACGTGTGCAATGACACATGTGTGATGACACGTGTGCAATGACACGGTGTGATGACACGGGTGCGATGACACGTGTGTGATGACACGTGTGCAACAACACGGTGTGATGACACGGGTGTGATGAAGGTGTGATGACACGGGTGTGATGACGGTGTGATGACACAGTGTGATGACATGTGTGCAATGACACATGTGTGATGACACGTGTGCAACGACACGGTGTGATGACACGGGTGATGGCAGTGTGATGACACGGTGTGATGACACAGTGTGATGACATGTGTGATGACACGGTGTGATGACACAGGTGTGATGACACGGTGTGATGACATGTGTGATGACACGGTGTGATGACACGGGTGTGATGACACAGTGTGATGACATGTGTGATGACACGGTGTGATGACACAGTGTGATGACATGTGTGATGACACACTGTGATGACACGGTGTGATGACATGTGTGATGACACGGTGTGATGACACGTGTGCAACGACACGGTGTGATGACACGGATCCTTCTAGTATCACGTGAAGTGGCTGCTCTGCCCTGAAGCTCCCCTGGCTTGGCCCGCTCACCCGCTCCTCCTGACTCAGCTCGGAAGTGTGTGTGGAGGCGGACGTGCCGTGGGCGGTCCTTCAGGCTGGCTTCCCTCTCTCTGCATGGCTGCCGGCTTGGCTTCCGTGCTTCTCTGCTGAACGCTGTGCTGCTGGGTGGCTGTCGCACAATGTGTGTGTTCACCTGACCACCGTGCAGGGTGTGCCCAGCGTGACCACGGCGCCCACGTGTGTCCACATCCTCACGGCATACAGTGTGCGTCCGTGTGACTACCAGCTTGTGTAGGAAAGCCCTTGTGGACATCCGCCGTGGGCTTCCGTGTTAGGCGGGTTCCCGGGTGTCTTCTCAGAGCCCTGCACTCACTCCGGGGTTTCGGGGCGTCTTCTCAGAGCCCTGCACTCACTCCGGGGTTCCGGGGTGTCTTCTCAGAGCCCTGCACTCACTCCGGGGTTCCGGGGTGTCTTCTCAGAGCCCTGCACTCACTCCGGGGTTCCGGGGTGTCTTCTCAGAGCCCTGCACTCACTCCGGGTTTCGGGGCGTGTTCTCAGAGCCCTGCACTCACTCCAGGGTTCCCGGGTGTCTTCTCAGAGCCCTGCACTCACTCCGGGGTGCATTTGCATTTTATGCTGGGCAAGGATGGAGGAAGCAGGTTTTCTGCGTGCGTCACCCCTGGCTTAGCAAGCTGCCGGCTCCAGCCGACTCCCGCACGGCCCGCCCTCAGTGCTGCTGAAGGATGCTGAGGGGGGTTCTGGAGCCTTGCCATCTGCAGCCGTAAGGCACAACGCCGTGCTGGGACTCTGAGCTCTGGACCGAGGTGTGCTCTCGAGAGGGGCTGAATGGTGAGCTGGCTGCTCCTGGGAGAGGCTGGGCAGCCGTCAGGACTGGCCCCAGGGGAGCCTTGTGGCGGAACCTTGCCACACACTGGCTGCTACTCCTGTATCCTTCAAGCCTGTCGCATGAAGTGGAGGTCGTGGTCACGTCCCGTGTCTGAACTCTGTCCTACCTGTCTGATTGGCCGGTTAATCCCAGTTGGAAGAGCAGAGGTGTTTACTTTTTAAACTGCTTGGATGTGGCTTAAATCCCATGTTGTAAGACTCTGGTTTTTGCGCAATGAGGTTGGGCCTGCTCTGGGGTCAGCGTGTGCGTGACTGACCCCCTTGTCTCAGGGTGGCTCGGCACACCCCTGTCCCCTGGGACCCCGACTTCCACAGCGGGCATGATGAGCTTGTAGCCCGGGGGCTGGCAGCCAACTCTGGAGCCTCGAGATGCTGCTTCCCAGCAAAGCCGAGGCTCCGGGAGGCGAGGCCCCGTGGGAGTGGCCGGGGTGTGCTGCAGGCTTCCGTGGCCTCGAAGGCCTTGGAGTCGCTTGCATGAAGCCAGGAGTGTAGGTCGGTGGAGAGGGCCTGTGCCCTCCTACACTGTCCTACAGAACAACAGTGCTGCTTACTTCCTTTTTTTTTTTAAATATTATGAAAGTGTGGAAATATGGAAGATGGAAGAATTGCAGTGTAGGCTGGTGCTGTGGCACAGCAGGCTTAAGTTGTTCCTGTGACACCGGTACCCCTCAGCAGTGCCAGTTCGTATCCAGCTGCTCCCCACTAGAGTGCCTGGGAAAGCCGTGGAGGTTGGCCCCGGTGCTAGGGCCCTGCTGCTGGAGCAGCTTCGTGTCGGGTTAGGAGCACGGGAACTGCTCTGTGCTGGAGGACGGGTGTAGAGGCCAGGCCGGCGCCTACCTTCCCGGGCAGCTGCTCGTGTGTGGAGCCCTGTTGGGAGCTGCTAGCCCCTCACGGGAGGAGCGAAGGGGACGTCTCCTCTCCACAGCAGTGTACCGATGAGGCCCTGCCGAGTTTGGGGGCTCCGCGCCTCCAGAAGCCCTCCACTCAGTGTCTCCCAGGGCAGAGACAGGTGGGAGAACTGCCCGGGGCACTGTGCTCTGAATGCAGGCGCGGCTCCCGCTCCCCTCCGGACACTCGCCCAGCCTGCCGGGGCTGTCCCCGTTTGCTGCCACCGCCCTCTCTCCATCTCAGAGTTCTTCCTCACTTGAGACTGGGCCCTCCGAGCAGCTGCCTCTGGTAGCACTGCACCCTGTGGGCAGACCCCGCTGGAGCCCCCCCCCCCCCCGCTCCTGCTGGCTCCACCCCTCCCTGCCCCACAAGGAGGAACTCCCCGGAGGCCCGGGGCAGCTGGGAGAGAACGCCGCTGACAGCGCCGATGGCGCCCTGCTCTCCCCGCTGGGACGTCGCCGAGGGGAGGGCTTCCGGGACTTGGACTCCTGCGGCCTCTCCCGGCCCTCTTTGGGGTGGTGTCGTGGATCTGATGGCTCCTGTGGTGCCTGGTGAGGGCTGGATGTGTGATGCGCGGTGCTGGGCGGTTCCCGTGGTCTGGGGCGCACTGGCGTGACTCGCTGCCTCACGCGGGCGCCTGAGGCGTGAAGACGCGGCAATGTCTTGCTCCCAGCCTGCCCTCTGACTTCCCCTCGTGCAGTGACCCTCCCGCTTCTGTCAGCTCTGCTGGTCCGCAGCAACTTGATGTTATGCATTAGGAGGTTAGCTGCCAGCCTCGGGGCCAGCCTTGAGCTCTGCTGCGCACGCCCCTCCATCACCCTGGCTCCAGTCCTGCCCATGGCTTTTCACCCAGCCCGTCTGTGAAGGGAGTACCCAGTGCGGGCCGGGCGGGTGGGCGCCGGCTGGCTCTCACAGGACTGGCCCCAGCTCGGCCTCTTCCAGCCTCCTGCAGGCTCCGAGGGGTCTGGGATGCTGCCTGCTGCCCAAGCCTCTTGGCCCCTCATGGTGCTCCCTGCCCCAGTGCCAGTGTGGTCCAGGCTCCGGCACTGCCCCCCAGCAGGTGACACATGCAGAGGGAGTAGATACGTGGCCTCGGCCAGGCCACCTTGTAGGCGTGTGGCTGTGTGCTGGGCACCTCGGCCGGGGGCCCTGCGCAGGCGTGACTGTGTCCTGGGCGCCTCGGCCAGGGACCCACGCGGGCGTGCGGCTGTGTCCTGGACGCCTCGGCCGGGGGCCCTGCGCAGGCGTGTGGCTGTGTCCTGGGCTTGGCCTTGCCACTCCATCTGCTCGGCAGCGGGTCTAAAGGCAGCCTTGCTCGCTCTCTTCCCGCAGTGCTTCACCGATACAGACACATTTTGGGACTGTGGCAGCCGGATATCGGGCCGTACGGAGGGCTGCTGAATGTGGTGGTAAGTGTGAGCCTGGCCGCGGGCATGTGCGTGTGGGTAGGTGTGGTGTGAGCCTGGGGCCTTTAGGCCTCTGCCCCTCGGGGGTGCCAGCCCTGCCCTGGGACATGAGCTGTCATCAGGAAGACCTGGTGTCCTGGACTGAGGCGCTCCAGCCTCCTGGACACGGGACTTGCTAGCTCTAGGGTGGTACAAAGCAGGTACTGGTTGACCGCCCGGAAGTGAAGGATGGTGCCAGGGCCTCAGTGCCTGCCAAGAGGGCTGTGGGCACAGGCTCCTGTGGGGCTCTGGCTCTGCTCTCCACACCTGTGGCATGTGCAGCCTCTGAACGTGGTGCTGCCTTGCTGCAGCCCACCTGGGGCGCCTGCTGCCGGGGTGAGGCTGGGAGCAGGCGTGTGCCCCGTGCGCCCTGTGCTGCTGCCTATGGCAGACGACCTCAGAGCAAATTCAGGAAGCAGCCCTTCGGTATGGGCCTGGTGCACTATCAGAGTTTCTCCTAGGGAGGCCAGAGTTCTGGAGACTTCCATGAGCTCCGCTTCTTGCCACAGGTCAGCTTCCTGCTGCTGCCCTCACACGGGCCTGCGTGCAGCTGTCGCAGCACGAGCTTGTCCTCCTGCAGCCTGGACACAGGGCTGTCGCTTCCTGCACAGAGCTGCCTCTGTGCTTCCCACCCCACCGGCACTGTCTGCTGCGGGCACGCTCTCCCAGGCAGGCTGGTGGTGCCCATGTTCCCCCTGGCGTGTCCCCGTGGCGTTCAGCTCAGACCCTGGCAGCATAGCCCTCTGGGGCCTTGGTCGCTGAGCAGCAGGCTGCAGAGAGGAGAGGCGGTGGCGGCCTGGCCCCTGGGGAGCGCAAGGAGGCCGAGAACAGGCCAGGTGGACTGGGGCGCCCGAGCAGGGGGCGAGCAAGGTTGTGCCTGGCCACGTGTGGACTGCTTGTGGCCACAGGGCTGTTGGGTGTCCTGCAGTCCTCATCCCAGTCCTCCGGCCTCACTTTCCAAGGTCAGCTGCTGGGGTTTATTTTAAGGTTTATTTCATTTATTTGAAGAATTCCTGGAGAGGAGAGACAGTGAGATCTGACATGCACGGCTCACTGATCACACGGCTACAAAGCCAGGGCCGGGCCAAAGGCAGGAGCCAGGAGCGTCTTCTGGGTCTCCCACGTGGGTGCAGGGACCCAAGGACTTGGACCATCGTCTGCTGCTTTCGTGGGCACAAAAGCAGGGAGCTGAGTCAGAAAAGCTGGTGCCTTAGGTTTTGAGTTAGACGCTCAGCAGTTAGCTTGTGTTGGAAAGGAAAGATAAGATGTGTTTGGTCTGCGTCCGTCTCCCCGTCTCCGCCAGCTGTGCATGTGAAAAGCTTTGGGCTTGTTTCCCTGTCCACCTCCGCCCGAGTGGGAGCTTGGATTCCCGTGGGCCCTGCTCTGCAAGGGTTCTCCAGGGTGAGGCGCTGTGCCCTGGCTCCAGAGGGCCTCGCTGCTCCTCCATGGTGTGGGTGTTCTGCGTGGCCGGGGAGCATAGGTACGGCCTGGCTGAGCCCTCGGCCTCCCGGTGTCTGCCTCTGGGGTGCAGGGAATAGAGTGGCCCAGGGCTGGCTTGGTCACTGGATTTGCTGCTCTTGCTTTGTCTCCAGACGGCTGTACAGGTCCCCAAGTTGGCTCGGCAGTCTTCGTGTGGGTCTGCAGGGCCTGCTGTCACTGTGTGTTTTGCCCAGCAAGAGGTGTTCTGGGGACCAAAGACTGCTGGGTCTGCTGAGAAACGGGCTTGCCCTTGGTTGGTCGGCTGAGTTCCCGGGCCCGGCCTGGCTCTTGCAGGATTCCCTCCCGAGCTGAGCCAAGCAGCCGCTGGCAGGGCCAATTACTGTCCTTTCTTGGTCGGGGAAGAGGGGGTTGTTTTTCTTACCAGCAGTGAGTATCAGAGTGACAAAGGAAAAAACGGTGGGACAGCCTCTGAACGCGGGGGACAGTGGGATGGAGCCCTGGCCTTGCTGACCACGCCTGCTCTCAGCCCTGGCAGCTGTGGTGCTGGGACCCCCTGTGGGCCAAGGGGTCCCCGGGGGCTGGGCTGGCTTGCTGCTGTCTGCCCTCCACCTTCTGTGCACCACCCATACCCAGGACAGACGAGGGAGGGTTGGCACCTGCCAAAGCTTTCCAGAGGCAGCTGCTGCCTCCTGCCTGGAGCCGTTTCGAGCAGATTCAGCCCTGTGGCATTTCACCTGCCCCACTTGGCACTGGCACTCGGAGTTCTGGGTGCTTCTTGCCCGTACACTGTGCTCATGCCAGACCCCGCAGAATCAGCAGGTGTTCCCACCCAAATTGACCTTGACTGAGGTTTGTTCCCATCAGTACCCGGCAGGTCCCTCCAGCTAACCGTGCTTGTTGAATGCACTTGCAGCCCACCCATGCTGGGTCCGTGCCTTGCTGGGCTCACATTCCGGGCTCTTCCCTTGGCCAGTTCCTGACCACCCCCCTTTGCATTTGGAGCTGGCAGGTAGTCTGAGGGGCCTCCTCAACTCAGCCTGGATTCAGTAGGGAACTGCTTTGTGGGTGGGGTCCTGTACCTCCCTGTCTTCTGGCTGGTGGTGCAGGGTGGGTGTGGCCTGAGTGGGCTCTGTGCAGGTGGGTGGGCGTGGCTGGAGTGCAGGTGGTGGGCGTGGCCTGAGTGCAGGTGGTAGGCGTGGCCTGAGTGCAGGTGGTGGGCGTGGCCGGAGTGCAGGTGGTGGGCGTGGCTGGAGTGCAGGTGGTGGGCGTGGCCTGAGTGCAGGTGGTGGGCGTGGCCTGAGTGCTCTTTCTGGTGCAGGTGGACGGCCTGTTTATCATTGGCTGGATGTACCTGCCACCCCACGACCCTCACGTTGATGACCCCATGAGATTCAAGCCTTTGTTTAGGATCCACCTGATGGAGAGAAAGTCTGCCACCGTGGAGTGCATGTACGGCCACAAAGGACCCCACAATGGCCACATCCAGGTGAGAGCTGGGTGTCCCTTAGGGGCGTGATGAGAACTGGGGCATTCCTGGGCGGGGTGTCAGCACGCTCACTGGGCCATGTGGATAGAGGGAGCAGGAGTTGTGTGCTGTCTCGGCTCCTGCCGGTGCGTGCCCTTGGAGCCCTGGGTCTTGGCAATGGTACTTCATCTCCGGCCTTCTCCTTTCCTTGGAGTAGAATTCTTGTGCTGTTTGCTGTCAGACTGACGAGGGCCCAGGAGCACCGGGTGTCATCAGGCACCTGCCCCAGGTCCTGCTGGGGAGAGTGACGGACACCTTCCAGTGCTGATTCACTCCACTGATGGCCGTGGTGGCCGGGCCGAGCCAGGAGCCAGGAGCCGGGCGCTGCATGCGCTTCTCCGTGGGGCAGGGGCCCACACAGTGTTCTGCTGCCTTCCCACACGTGTGACGGGGTCCTGGACTCCAACTGGACTGTGCGTGGGGTGCTGTGTTTGCAGCAGCACCCGGGCTGCAGTACAGCGTGGTGGGAGTGCTGGGGGCTTGGTGGAAACAGCAGGAGGCACGGTGATCCTGGCCTGACTCTCTGCTGCTCCCTTTCCTCAAGATTGTGAAGAAGGACGAGTTCTCCACCAAGTGCAACCAGACGGACCACCACCGGATGTCTGGCGGCAGGCAGGAGGTGAGCGCCGGGCTCCTGGAGGGGAACGTGGGGACACGCATGGGGCACTGCCCTGACCTGCCCTCTGCACAAAGTGGCTAAAGTCCTCGCCTCGCACACGCCAAGACCCCATATGGGCGCCGGTTCTAATCCTGGCAGCCCTGCTTCCCCTCCAGCTTCCTGCTTGTGGCCTGGGAAAGCAGAGGAGGACGGCCGAAGCCTTGGGACCCTGCACCTGTGTGGAGACCCGATGGAAGCTCTTCCTTTCTGTCTTTACTTCTCTCTGTATATTTAACTTTACAATAAATAAAAAATAATAAATCTTTTTTTTAAAAAAAGAAGGAAGCCTCTGCCTGTGACCAGCAGCATGGCGGTCTGTTGAGCGAGCACCCGTCTCCCTGGCATTGCCCGGTAGGCTGCAGCAGCTGCAGCGCGCCTCCAAGCCTGCCTGGCCCCTGGGCCTCTGGCTAGACAGGAGAGTCGCGTCATCCGGCCAGGCTCCAAGGGGTCGTTTTTGGTCAGTGCACTTGTGAGGTTTCTGTGTGAGTGGTGGGCTGGCATTCACCTTGTCCTGCGGAGTCTGAGGTTACGGCACACGGGGCGTCTCGGCCGTGCTCAGTTCAGGTCCCGTCCTTCCTTACTTCGTCCACTCTTAGTATCTGTTGTTTATGAATTTACAAAGTGCTTTTCTGAAAGTGGCCTCAAGCAGGAGCCCAGCACTGCGTCTGGTCTCACTGTCTCCTGTGGGAGCAGAGCCACAGCACCGTGGCTGTCTCGCACTGCCCTCACAGGTGTGGCAGCAGCCTGAGACTTGAACCTGCGTCCACATGGGATGCTGGCACAGCAGGTGGAAGATTAGCCCCCTGCGCCATGATGCTGATCCAGGGATGTTTCTAAGAGCCTCTTCTCTGTAGATTCAGCCACTTTAATAGAAGATTTTTATTTATTTTTTAAAAAATATTTATTTCTATTGAAAGTTAAATCTACAGAGAGGAGAGACAGAGAAAGATCTTCCATCTGCTGAGTCACTCCCCAAGAGCCAGGAGCTTCTTCCAGGTCTCCCATGCAGGTGCAGGGTCCTGAGTCTTTGGGCCGTCCTTGACTGCTTTCCCAGGTCACAGGCAGGGAGCTGGATGGGAAGTGGAGCAGCTGGGATTAGAACCGGCGCCCATGTGGGATCCTGGCACATGTAAGGTGAGGACTTGGCCACTGCCTATTGCACCAGGCCCAAGGTTTTAATTCTAATGAAATCTAATTGTAAGGTGAATGATTTGAAAGGCAGAGTGAGAGCTATCTTCCATCCACTGATTTACTCCCAAGTGGCTGCAGGTTGGGGTTAGTGGAGCTGGCGTGTGGACTTCAGAGTCAGCCTGTCAGCATCCCCTGTGTCTGGGTGTGCTCGGCCAGCTCGGCGGGCCTGGAAATGCGTGTGGAAGGGAGCTGGGGCAGAGCCCAGCCTGCGGGCTGCACGTGGACGGGCTGGCTGCCTGTCAGGCCGCTCATGTACTCTTGGCAGTGTGTGGTTTAAAGGCGTCGGCCTGTGCGACCAAAGGATGTTGCAAGTGGAACTTTGAACATTTTTTTTTTTTTAAAGATTTATTTGTTTTTTGGAAAGTCAGATATACAGAGAGGAGGAGAGACAGAGAGGAAGATCTTCCATCCGATGATTCACTCCCCAGGTGAGCACAACGGCCGATGCTATGCCGATCCAAAGCCAGGATCCAGGAACTTCTTCCAGGTCTCCCACGCGGGTGCAGGGTCCCAAAGCTTTGGGCCGTCCTCCACTGCTTTCCCAGGCCACAGGCAGGGAGCTGGATGCGAATTGGAGCAGCCAGGATTAGAACCGGCGCCCATATGGGATCCCGGCACGTTCAAGGCGAGGACTTTAGCCGCTAGGTCACGCTGCCAGGCCCTTGAAAGTTTTTATTTGCTAATATTGTGTGCCAGTGCATAAAAATAAATCTTATTATTTTTTTTAAGTACTGGCCTTGTAGTAACTTCTGTTTTCTTGCTGGCCTTTGAGAGCTCTGATTTTAAAGCAGTTACCAGATTGTGCTGGCTTCTTGGTCGATCGCTTTGCCTCAGCAGAGCCGGTTCTGCCTTGTCATGTTGAGTTGAGATGCAGCGGTTTGAATCGGGTCTGTTTGTAGTATAGAGACAAAGTACTGAGCACCAAGTACCCTTGGTGTTGTGCTGGCTCTGGTGATGACTGCCTGCCTTTCTATCCAGTGCCCATGGGCAGCCCCGACACGCCGGCCCAGGAGCTACCTGCTCACTGTCCCTGGGAGCAGGGCCAGGCCATGCACTGCAGCTCCAGGCCTGTGTGGATGGCCGGCCCGGAGCGCTTGTCCTTGCCTGTGGTCCCTGCCTGTGAGCCCAGCAGTGCCTCCGGCCCTGGGCAGCTCGGTGCCTTGCACTGGGGATCATGGCTCGCTGCAGCTCCCCTCTTCCCCCCACTGGGATGGTCCGCATGTGGGAGGGACTGCCGTCAGCATCGTGGCCAACACCTGCCGTGTGTCCCGACGACCTCCACGGCACGTGCTCTCCGGCAGGAGTTCCGGACGTGGCTGCGGGAGGAGTGGGGCCGCACGCTGGAGGACATCTTCCACGAGCACATGCAGGAGCTCATCCTGATGAAGTTTATCTACACCAGCCAGTACGAGTGAGTGGGTGCGGGGCCCCAGGGCAGGAGCCCGGTCCACCAGCCAGTACGAGTGAGTGGGTGCGGGGGTCAGGGCGGGAGCCCCGTCCGCCGGCCAGTACGAGTGAGTGGGTGCGGGGGTCAGGGCGGGAGCCCCGTCCGCCGGCCAGTACGAGTGAGTGGGTGCGGGGGCCAGGGCGGGAGCCCCGTCTGCCGGCCAGTACGAGTGAGTGGGTGCGGGGGCCCAGGGCGGGAGCCCCGTCCGCCGGCCAGTACGAGTGAGTGGGTGCAGGGCTCAGGGCGGGAGCCCCGTCCACCGGCCAGTACGAGTGAGTGGGTGTGGCCCTCCCCGTGGCCCTCTGAGGGGTGTGGCCCCTGCCCCCATGGGGACCATCATGTCTGACGTGGCTCCTCCTGTGACTGTCCTGCCGAAGTTGTGTCCCTTGCAGGGGCTGGGTTCTTGTCCTGTCCCTGGCTGTGGCCTGTGCCGTGTAACCTGGCCTCCCCCTTGTGCGGTGTTGCCTCAGGTGACCAACTCCTTTCTCCAGGTTGGTGGATCAGGAGTGGCCTTCCCCTGCCCTCCTGAAAGCCCCACGTGAGTCTGGGGTGGGGACAAGGGCACTAGTGGTGCCATGCTATGCCCCACTGCCCGCAGGCCAGGACAGCTTCTCCCTCGCCAGGCTGCGCCCCTGCCCTGTGCGTGTGGCCCAGCCTGGGTTATGACTTCTGCCTCTTCCACAGCAACTGCCTGACCTATCGGCGCATCTACCTCCCGCCCAGCCGCCCGGACGACCTCATCCAGCCCGGCCTCTTCAAGGGCACCTACGGCAGCCACGGCCTGGAGGTGGTGATGCTCAGCTTCCACGGCCGGCTGGCCAGGGGCACCAAGATCACAGTGAGTGGGCGCACTCGGGCCGGCCCAGCAGTACCTTGGGCCCCGCCACCAGGAAGCCTGGCAGTGCTGCGCCCGGGTCTGTGGGTCCAGTGGGCGCTGTCATTGGTCACCCCCGCAGGACCAGGTCTCACTGGGCTTCCCCGAGCTGTCTGGATGAGACTGAACTGCAGGCAGTCCAATGCCCGTGTGGCACAGGTGGCCCCGGCAGCCGCCTGGCTTCGCAGCTGCCCGTGAGCCTCACCCGGCTGCCCAACAGCTCACTGCCAGCTCCAGGACCACGCTAGGGGCCCTCGGTGGGCTTGTTGGCCTCTGCAGGCCTCAGCTGGGTTCTGTCCGTCGGGCCCCTCTGCCCAGGCAGAGGCTGCGTGTGGCTTCTGCTGGCTGTCGTTTCCTGGGGAACTGTGGGGACGAGGATCTTCCTGGGGCTCCTCAGACGGGCCCCTGTCCCGGGCAAGGCCACCAGCCCTGCCCCAGGAGTGCGTGGTGTGTTGACAGAACACCTGCTCACCCTTCCTTGTCTGGATGGACTGCTGGGTGAAGCCGCAAGACCCTGTCCTGGGCGGCCTGCTGAGGGCTGTCAGTGGGAGATGGGGGCAGATGGGGGCAGGTCTGCATGTGCCTGTGCGTCCCCGCCCACCCACTCTGCAGGGTGACCCCAATATCCCTGCGGGGCAGCAGACGGTGGAGATAGACCTGAGGCATCGCATCCAGCTGCCGGACGTCGAGAACCTGCGCAGCTTCAACGAGCTGTCCCGCCTCGTGCTCGAGGTGCGGGAGCAGGTGCGGCTGGAGCAGCAGGAGGGCCAGCACGAGGACAAGGAGCCGGCCGCGCATCCCGCCCAGGAAGCGGCTGCAGCCCAGCAGCCCGCCCAGTCGGGGCAGGGGCAGCCATTTGTGCTGCCTGTGGGTGTGAGCTCAAGGAGCGAGGACTACCCCCGCACGTGCAGGATGTGGTGAGGACAGCTGGCCACACGGAGCAGGGTGGGCTGGGCGGGCTCCAGAGCTTTGCGGCTTCTCTAGGGCAAGCTCCTGCCCATCTCGCAGTTTACTCATGCCCCCGGGTCAGGAGGGTCCACCCGGCACTCCCCTGCCCCGGGTCAGGAGGGTCCACCCGGCACACCCCCGCCCCGGGTCAGGAGGGTCCACCCGGCACACCCCCGCCCCGGGTCAGGAGGGTCCACCCGGCACTCCCCCTCCCTGGGTCAGAAGGGTCCACCTGGCACCCCCGCCCCCATAGCTGGGCCCAGACCCTCTGTGGTGTCACTGCTGCCACTGCCTACCTGATGGCAGGTAAACGTGGAAGGGCCCCGCGTGGCTTGAGGGTGTTCTAGAATATCTAGACTGGCATGTGCCGGGCAGTGCCCTTCCGTCCCTCATGCCGCCCGTCTGTTCAGCTTCTATGGCACAGGCCTCATCGCCGGGCACGGCTTCACCAGCCCCGAGCGCACCCCCGGCCTCTTCATCCTGTTCGACGAGGACCGCTTTGGGTTCATCTGGCTGGAGCTCAAGTCCTTCAGCCTGTACAGCCGGGTGCAGGCCGCCTTCCGGAACGCCGACGCGCCGTCCCCGCAGGCCTTCGACGACATGCTCAGGAACATCCAAGCCCTCACGTCCTGACCGCGGCTGGCCTGGACCTGCCCTGAGAAGGGTCGCAGCATGCACTTTGCAAGTCGCACCTTCTGCTTGGGGGCCCAGCCCCCCAGGACGCTTCGTACAGTGTGTAACATAGTCCTGTGTGTCTGTGAGTTGTGGAGGACAGCTGAGGCGGGGGCTGCGGCATGGCCAGCTGGGAGCCGCCCCGTGGCCAGCCTGCGCAGGTGGCTGTGGCAGTCGGGGGGAGGGACGGGCTCCCGGGCAGCGGTGTGGGGGCAGTCGGAGGCTGGGCACAGTTCTCCTTTCGCTGCCAGCCCTTTTTCTCCTGTGGGATAAGATGGGCTGGCTGTCCGAGCCCCCGGTCCCCACTCTGGCTGTCCCAGGCCAGCTGTCCTGGTCCTTGTCCCTGGTGGGGCACTGTGCCTGTCTGTAGGGGAGCTTCCTCACTGGTCCCCGCGAGGCGTCCCGAACGTTCCCTGGCTGGTCTTGAAAGTGAAAGGAGCTCTGTGCCCAGGATTGGTCTGCTTGGCACCTTCTCCCCCGGCTTCCAAGAGTGGACCCCTGAGTGGACCGTGCAGACCCTCAGGAGGAGGGGCCCACATGGCAGCAGCAGGGACACAACTGCGCCCCGCTGTCCCGGCCCCCGACTCGCCCCCCCCCAGGTTCTAGCAGCGTGTCCTGACACAGAAGTTTGGGCCATGGTTTCCAGCATGGCCCGGGTTGGCGCAGAAGCACTGTCATCGCCTGCCCGGCCCCTGTGGTTGTGACTTCCTTGTGCCAAATGCGGCTGGACCTGGGCGGTGGTGACTGGCCACGGAGCCTCGGGGAGCCGGCGTGGCGTGTGGCTCCCAGGGAGCGGCCGCTGCCCAGGCACGGCCGGGAAGCGCAGGTTTTACCAAGAGGCTCGCTCACTCTTAGGGCCCTCCCCAGCTCCACGGAGGCCTCGCCTTGCCTTGTACAGAGCACGGTGACTGAAGAAAGTACTGATTAAAACTCCTCCAGTCTCATGAGCCTGCTTCTGGTGTCTGGGTGGCTACACAGCTTTATCAGCAGCAACTCCAACAGATGTGGTTGCTGTGGGAGGTAGTGTGGTCAGCCAGGGAGCTGGGGAGCTCGGGAACTGGGGCTGCTGAAAGCCTGGGGCCTGAGGAGCTCGGGAAATCGGGGGCTGGGAGCCGGGGATACTACAGAACTTGGGGCCTCAGGGGGAACTGGTGGGGCTGGGATCCTGGGGTGCTGCAGAGCCTGGGGAACTGGTGGGGCTGGGAGTGGGGGGCCTGTAGTTGGCCAGGTGGGCTGGCAGCCTGGGCCCTGGGCTGTGACAATGCAGGAGACACTCGGGCAGTCACGGGTTCTGAATTGACCAGAAGCCGCCAGCAGCTGCCCTCGTGCTGGCTCCCTGTTGGGGGTTGGCCCAGCTCATGGAGGGGGGTTTCAGCCCTGCTCTGCCTGCAGCCACCAGCCTCCTGGGTGCCGGGGCCTGTTACAGTGGCTGCTGGCTACTGTGGAGCTTACGGACCTGCTGGCTGCTCCGCAGCTTCCCCAGACGTGCACCCTGGCACATCTGCCTGGCCAAGGGACTGCTCCGTGGTCTCCCCACCCCCACTGAGGGCCGCTGTAGGAGATCCTCCTGCCAGCCAGGGCAGCCTGAGTCCTCAGGCTGGCACAGCTTGTGGGTGCTCAGCTGGTGATGGAGAGACGATGCTTGCCCATGGCTTTGTTACTCAGAGAGCTCCAGCTGGCACTGCCCCTGCTGGCCGCGGTGGCTCCTGGAAAATGGCAGGCACAGTGGAAAATGAGGCCGCTGGATTGACCGCCGGGCTCCTCCAGGCCATTTTTGTCCTGTCCCCTCTGTTCTCAATGTAGTGTTTGGGTGAGCACACTCTGGGATGCCCCCGGCCTGAGGGCATCAACCCTGTGCCACACGGGTGTGCGTCTCGCTGTTTGGGTGCAGGTAATGGATGGCGCCTGCATGTCTTCAGCTTCTGTAGGGGACTTGGGTCTAAGTGTGGGCCTGCCACTGGTGGTGTGTTTTCAGGAGGCTCCTGGTGGGAGCGGGTTCCCCTGGGTGTGGACTGTGCTCGCAGGGGCCAGCCAGAGGAGGGGATGGGTCAGGTCCGTATTCTTGCAGAGCCACGCGTGCTTTTGGTTGTCTGAAATCAGTCTACTTAGCAAAAGTTGTCACCACTTGGTGTTGAGCCCCTGGCCCTGACTGGGGAGAGAAGCCCAGGGCAGGCTGGGAATCGAAGGGCCCCTCGGTCTCCAGCAGGATTGGGCCAAGGCCCCCGCTGGAGGCAGCTGTGTCCCTGGCCTGGTCCCCTGGGTGTGCCTGCTGGATTCGCCTTCAGTGCCGTCTGCCCTTCAGCCCTCGTGGGCTGTGGGGGTGGGTCCTGAGGGGGCTGGGTGGGTCTTGGGGCTGACCCACACCCCAGCCTCACGAAACCCAGGTTCCCACTAGGGGAGTGTGGGTGTGTCTGCTTGGAGCCTCTCTGCGACCCTGGCAGCCTGTGCCTGCGTGGCATGGGCAGCCTGTGTCTGCGTGGCGTGGGCAGCCTGTGTCTGCGTGGCGTGGGCATCCTGTGTCTGTGTGGTGTGGGCAGCCTGTGTCTGCATGGCATGGGCAGTCTGTGTCTGCGTGGCGTGGGCAGCCTGTGTCTGCGTGGCGTGGGCAGCCATGTTCCTGCGTGACGTGGGCAGCCTGTGTCTGCGTGGCGTGGGCAGCCTGTGCCTGCGTGGCGTGGGCAGCCATGTTCCTGCGTGACGTGGGCAGCCTGTGCCTGCGTGGCGTGGGCAGCCATGTTCCTGCGTGACGTGGGCAGCCTGTGCCTGCGTGGCGTGGGCAGCCATGTTCCTGCGTGACGTGGGCAGCCTGTGCCTGCGTGGCGTGGGCAGCCATGTTCCTGCGTGACGTGGGCAGCCTGTGTCTGCGTGGCGTGGGCAGCCATGTTCCTGCGTGACGTGGGCAGCCTGTGTCTGCGTGGCGTGGGCAGCCATGTTCCTGCGTGGCGTGGGCAGCCTGTGTCTGCGTGGTGTGGGCAGCCTGTGTCTGCGTGGCGTGGGTGCTCCTGTAGCCAGTGCATGGATCCCAGCAGGAGGAGGGGTGGTGGTCACTGACCCCGCATAGATTCCATACTCCCTGTCCAGTTGGCTTCCCTGGTCTTTGGCAGCTCAACAAAGGGACTACAGGCCCAGGGCGGAGTCTGCTGGCGCTCTGGCACCTGGCATCTTCCCTTTGTCCCAGCTCTTCAGAAGAGTGACCTCTTGTGGGCATTCATGGTCACTGCATGTGGCTTGACCCCTGCCCACAGTACCAGCTGGAAACACCCTCCCCTTGTCCTGAGACCTGTCCCCGCCCTAAGAAGTCGCGTTCCATGGTGGCTGACCTTGTCACCACCCGAGAGAGGGCACTTGTGGGCATCTGGGCCTGAAGGTCCCTGACCACACCCTGTGTGGGCCCTCCCTGCTGCCTGGGGCCAGGCTGGGGCAGGGTCGCACAGCTGGCATGTATCTGTCTGTGGCACTGTGTGGCTTACAGGTGTTAATCCTACAATGATCCAGGTGTGCAGGCCCGGTGGGTCAGTCCCCCTAGCTGGAGGGGGAGGTTGAGGGACCTGCCCGGGGCCACAGCTGCCACACCCTGACCACTCTAGAAGAGCTGGTGTTGGTGTGAGGTGGATTTAAACCTGTTTTGTTTATTTTCAAGGTGGAAGCTTAGCCTCTTACGCCACAGTGCGAGCCCCGTGTTGATGCCTTTCCACCTAGGGAAATCCTGTCTCAGGAGCCCAGCTCACAGTGGACGGGGCCACTTGGGGTGACGCTGGCTGAGGGTGGGCTCCAGGACAGGGAGAGGGCCCTGGCTCGGGCTCACCTTCGTTGTTCTGTGGAGATAGCAGCAGCCTTTAGTCCAGCTCTTTTGTGGAAGGCTGGGAGAGCTGGTGCAGAAGGCTCAGGGCAGCCGAGCAGATGGCCTGCAACCCCTTGGCACCGCCTGGAGGGCACGGGGATGGAGCTGGCCATGGGGCTGCACGTCAAGCCCTTGAGCTTTCCAAGGCCTCTGCCAGTGGCACTGGGCACTGTTACGTGGGCAAGAAGCTGCCCAGCTGATGTCCAGCGTGGCCAACGCCGTGCTGTCTGGCGATGGCTGGGGGTACACTGCACTGGGTGCTTCCCCGCACTGCCCGCTGGGCTGAGCTCATTGTGACACGGTGCCAGCCCGGAGGCAGAGTGGGGCCCCCCTGGGCTGTCCACGCCCACCCTCGGGAAACGCCCTGCTGAGGACCCCATCAGGCCGTCCTGACTGAAGGCTGGGTGACCTGAGGACCACGTCTCAGCCACACTGACGGTGCACACGGCAGGAGCTCACTGGGGCTGTTTCCACACCCCCAGTGCCCTGTGGGGGCTGTTTCAGGGGCTTGCCTGCTGTGCTGTGCGGCTGCATTTCACTCCCAGGATGGGAAACATTAATGAGGAAAAGAGGGTATGTGGGGTATGCCAGGAGGCTGCAGGGAGTGGTGGTGTGGGGAGGGACGTGGTTAAAGAGGGGTCAGTCCTGGGACCTGGTGGTGTGTGTGTGCGCATGTGCAGTGTTCACGTGTGTGCTGAGCCACACAGTGGACACCCTTTGCTGCTGTCCTCACATGGCTGCCCGGGTGACAGAGGGCTGTCAGTGGGCAGGGCCACAGGCCAGGACACCCTCCAGGAACCTGGGTCTGATGTGTGTGTCTGATGTGGCCCAAGGCCTGGGGACAGCTCACCACCTCGGAGTTCCTCTCCTCTGTTCCCAGCATTCCGGTTCCGGACGCCATGGGCACAGAACACTGGTGGGCACGGGACACTGGTGGGCACAGGACACTGGCAGGCAGGCTCCCCTAAGCAAGGTGACTGACTTCAGACAGAATGCCAGCACGCATGCCCGAGGCTGGGGAGGGGGATACAGGCCCATGGACAGCTGACCACTGTCCATCCAGGACACTTGTTTCTGTGGTGCCATGATGGCAAGATGACAATGGTGCCATGTCCCCACAGGCTGCAGTGGGCTGGAGCAGGGGAAGGCTAGCATGCTGGCGTTCCACGGGCGCCCGGAGGAGGGTGCCATGCCGTACCCATGCCACAGAGATCGGGACGGTAGGGTGACGACCCCAGAGGTCCCGCACGCCACAGGTAAGGGGCCGAGGCAGCGGAGTGCCTGCGATGGCATCCCGCAGCAGTGGCGTCCCTAGGGCTGGCTGGGAGCACTTGTGGACAGAAGTCCGTGGGGGAGCCGTCCCTCGGACTTTCCCAGCGTGCAGCGGGGACAGGCTGGCTTCAGGGAGACCCCAAAGCGTCCCCGGCCGACACTGAGAACTGCAGTTTTTGTTTAGATTTATTTGGAAGGCAGAGTTATATAGGAAGAAGGGGAGAGAGAGAGATCTTGCATCTGCTGTTTGACTCCCAAGTGGCCAGGCTGGCACCCAGGTGCCAGAGCTGCCTCTGGGTCTCCCGGGTGGGCATAGGAGCCCTCGGGCCATCTGCTGCTGCTTTTCCCGGTGCACTGGAAGGGCACTGGATAGGAAGCGGAGCAGCCAGGACTTGAACCGGTGCCATATGAAGTGCCAATGTTGTAAGTGGTGGATTTCAGTTTTTAAACACTGTGTTTGGCTTCAGCCACAGCACTTGGACCGGTGGGCTCCCTTCCTACCCATGGTCGCCTGGGGATAACAGTCACCCTGAATCAAAACTCCACACGTGGGTGTGCTGTGCTTTGGGAGTGATGCCGGCCTCTGCTGTCCAGAAGAAAGACAAAGGAGGGAGAGGGTCCCCTCCGTGGCGGGAGCCCTGCTCTGTGCACCGCCTGCTGGCAGCCCAGGAGCTGGCTGGCTGCTGCCGGCCACCACGGAAAGAATAACAGCCTAGGCGGCCTTTAGTTCAGGGACCCAGGGCCGCGGCTTCCCTTCCCCGGCAGCAGACAGCCGTGATGGAGCGGGCTGCAGGGGAAGAGCGCGGAAGAGGCGG